GCTTTTTCTTGGGAGCGTGAGCGCTGGAGCCAGGCGACCTCGAACGGCTCCACATCACCTCGCACCTTTGGCCAAAGCGGCAATGAGGGTCCAGCTTCGGATTCGGAGGCTCTTAGTATGGGGTCGCTCGCAAGCCAGACATGATGAGACGGGCTGAGTTTGCCGCACTGTCGCATCGTTTGGCTTCTTAGCGAAGTCTTGGAGCCCTTAGAGTGAGCCTATATAGCCTTAGAGTTGAGTCGGCATGCAAACCAGGAAATGGTATCAGCCGCACGTCTGCCAGCCGGAAGCAACGACGCCGTTTGAAAGCAGCGAACGCGGCAAGCGCAGAATCTGCAAAGAGCCCTGCTGCGGATGAACAGTACCTGGTTCTTGACTGGTAAAGTTTTCGAATCCAGGCGATCATGCATTTGGTGCACATTTCAGGGTTCGACTGACGAGCTGAGGCTAGAGAGGACGCCTGCCCTTCCTGGTCTTGTTAGCGGGCCCCGTGGTGAGGCGGGATTCGCTTCTGTGCAATTGCAGAGCAAGGGATCGGAGGTCCGGTGAGGCGAAAGTGCCACGGCAGGTGCCGACTCTCCCAGCGTGCCCTGGGCCTCTACTGTCCGAGGAGACGGTTGAGGCGCAGCGGGGTTGGGGCCTGCACATGAAAGGCAGCGCTTGAGCGTTTGCAGGCACGGACGCCACGGAGTCCGACCTCTGAGGGTCCTGGCCAGCTCTGGCCACCAACGCCCGAGTCCACACCACCGTGCTCGCCGCGAGACTTCGGTGGAAGCTTTTGCGCCTTCCCAGGCAGGCTCATAGCGGCAAATTTTCGGCAAATGTTTCTATCGGACAGGCATCTGGCACGTAGAGATCCCGAGCATGGTCTTGCCAGAGCCGGTGGCTTTGCCAGAGATGACATCCGTGGTCGCGGAGGACCTGAGGGAGGACTCGTCAAGTGAAGATAATTAAGTACCAGCACAAGGGCACAGCACATGCGGAGCTATGAGCTAGCAATGCTTTGTTTGAAGATGCCCTTTAACTGCTCAGTCAGACATATGCGCCCACCCATGTACAACGACTGACAGTGAAAGCTGCCAATTCGTGAAAGATGGTTAACATTAATCTTATTTTTGTTGCTCGGCAGGAAGTACCGGATGCAGAATCGCAGGCCTGCGAGAAGATGATCGCTCAACTGGGCGAAGATTCCAGTAGAGCCGAGGCGAATACATGTTCTGAACAACCACGTTCAGGGCTGCGAATCACAACATTCTTTTCGGCACCAGGGTCAGACTTCTGCTACTGGTGTGGTGAGCAGAGGCAAATGCTTCCAGGGACATGATGGATTTTTTGGCAGGCATGCAGACTCATCTGCAGGCATCTGCACGCATGTGTAGGATACGTTCTACCTGTCAAATCGACTGTCATTCTGTCTAGTCGAATGATATCAACATGTTTGTGTCTATGCCTTCGTGCATCTCTGTTTCAGAGGCCTTGGTTGATTCGACATGTCGACAGGTGATGGACTTGCTTTGGACTTCAGCTTGGTCAATGGCCTGCACTCCCGGCGGCACTCGTGTCGTCCAGAAGGCGTTGGAAGTTGCCGCACTTCGTCTGATAGTGTGGCATTGCGGAAGTACAGCCTTTGCAACCTCTGCGGCCACGAACTGCACGAACCACTCCGGCTTGGGATCTGTGTGCCACACTTTCGTTGCATAAGATGTGTGAAATGATCATCGTCGTTGCCATCCTGCAGACATGTTTCGTCTTTTTCCAAGGACACGACGGAGCGAAGCTTCCCTGCAATGGGTGAGATGTAGTGACGGTGTAGTGACATGAGCAGCTGATCTGAGCCATCCGGACTGTGACTATGCTTTAGCGTCGCAGCTTCTTCTGCGGCTGTTTCAAGGCATCTCTCTGGCAGAGCAGTTGCAGGGGCACGTCAAGGAAGCTTTTGCGTCACCCCACGCCAATCATGTCCTTCAGAGGCTCGGTTGCAGCAGGCACATCCTTCTGTTCACATGACATCCGCTCGCACCAGCAGAAGCGAAGTGCGACGACTCAGGAAATGCATCGAGCTCATTCCTCCAGACCGCCTTCACTTTGTCCTGTCCGAGATGCTCGGGCACGCAGTTGCTGCAGCACGTCACCGCTATGGTGCAGAGCTCGGCTTGCTGAAGCCTCGGGCCAACGTGTATTGTAGATCAGTGTCGAGCCTGGTCCGGTTCAAGTGAAGAGGATTTGCATTGTTGTGCTTGCGTTGCTCGCGATCGGTTTTCGGTTCGATCAGGCTGCGGGAACTTCAGAAACAATTTGAATGGCGACTGAGTCTGACGGCCTGAGGGCGTGCTGACGCGCAGGTTGCCGAGTCCTCGAGCGTCTCCTGGAGCATTGCCCTACTGAGCAGACAGCTCCGCTGGTCGAGGAGGCTCGGGTTGCGTGGCATTGCGTGGCTATGCATGGCGGCGAAAGATGCGAAGCTTGGGCCCTCCCCCCCCGGCCCCCGCAGGTGCTTGCCGGTGCTCCACAGCTTTGCCGCCACACCTTCGGCAACTTCGTCGTGCAGCACGTGCTCGAGCATGGGCTGCTCGCTTCGCTTTTTTGGCCATCCCCCGGTGGGAGAGCTACCCATAGTAATGCCAGCTGCCGGGGTCAGGGCACGGCCATTAAAATCAGCCTGTAACGATGCTTACAACGGTTCTTCCGCTCCGCTTAAGGAATTTCTCTAACTGCTGAGGCCGGGGGTGATTGGGTTCACTCTCGTAGCTTCGGTCGAGTTTGGGGAAGAACTGTGCGAAGTGACCGAGGACGGCTTCCCAAAAGCGCCAAGTGGTGGATGTCATTCACGCCGATATCCAGCGCCTAGCACGCCACCGGGTGCCTTGACAGCTCGACACGCAGTCGTACTCCACGACTGAGTTTCTTTGCCATCGACATGCCAGGTTGCCAGTCACGTCGTGCGGTGTGCATTGAAGCACGGCGCGCCGGAAGACAGGCGACATGGGCGGACCGAGCAAGAGCTGTTTTGCAGAGTAAACAGCTGGTGAACGGTAGAGGGTAGAGCGGTGCTGAGCGGTGTTGAGCGGACAGGCAGAAGCTGGTGCAGGCGATTCGGCCGGGTGCTCGGCAAGCGTCGAACAGCGTCGAAGGTGCCGAGGTTCAGAGGGGCTCCGTTCAGGAAAGACCCAGCAGATCTGGCTGACTTAGCTCACCACCACTGTGGGAGCTTCGTGCGATTCTCGGAGGGTGCTGCGTCGCTTGCTTCGCTTGCGCTGGAGCTTCGGCCGCTGCCGAACGTGCAGAGGTTGTGCGAGAAATGCGACGTGCCGATGGCTTGCACCGCTGAGGAGCGAGCTGCGTCTCTTTGAGCAGTTGATTGAAAAAGGGAGGGGGAGCATCTGCGAGCGTGCTCCTTTTGAGGAGTGGAGGTGACGAGTTGTGCCGTGTGTTGACGCGGCAGCAACTGTGGACTGCCAAAGTGGAACAGACCTTTCAGGCTTGGCATGTCATTAGATGCATGTTCATCGTGCCAGAGGCACGATGCAGTGCAGGTCATTAGAGATGTCCAACTCCAGCTCTCCTTCAGTATCAGTTCCGCACGGTAGGGCATGTTGTGCTAAGACCTGCAACCTTCCATCTCCACAATTCCGGGTCTTTCCTCGGAATGCTTCCTTGGAATCTCTCGGAACAACATTTACACTGGTGCTGCTCAACGCTCTTCCAGGAAGCATGAGGATGTGGCTGCTAATCGTTGATCTGGCAAGCAGATTCGGAGAAGTATGCAGGGTACACAGGCAGCTTCTTATCCGTTTGGCTTGCACAGGCTGTGTGAGTCTGTATCCAAGATGTATCGGAGACGACTTGTGACACCATCGCGGTGAGGTTTCTTGAGCTCAATACAACTCACACAGCCTCCGGGAGACATACTAGCTACGGCTCAGTCCCAAATTTTCCGTGCATGTGGACGCCCACATGCTCGCTGCGCTGCGGCAGCATTTACCTTTGAAGTGGGAAAGAAAACACTTGCTATCAAGGATCCTGCTAGAGATTCCTCGTTCCATGGTCGGTCAAGGACGATGGAGACCCACCCCTAGCTAGCAGACGGGCCGTCATGAGAGGCGGGCAATCCTTGATGTCAGGTCTTGTGCAAAAGCGCATACCGTTGCGCGGAAATGGTTCCAATCCTACGGCAGCTGGCAGGTCAATTAGCCTGCGAAGTTTGCTCAAACTCTTAAGTGTCGGTGAACCAGTTTCACCGGCGTTTGCTCTCACAGCCTCTCTTCAAACCCTAAAACCACCGGCAAGGGAGACTATGGATAAGACACGGTCCAAACGCCGGGCTGGAAAGAGCGCTTTTGGAGCTCGTGGCGACGCTGCTTGCCTCCTTGAGCTAAGACGGCTCAACATGGGGTGCGAGGTGCATACTAGCCTCTAAGCATGAAATTCTGTCCCTTCATCTGAAGCTTCGATCTGAGATGTTTAACACCGGAAAGCATGCTTCGAGGCCAGTACAGTCGTGGTGCAGTTGGCTCCGGGCGCGAAGACTCCATGCCCTTCGCATTTCTGTAATGCTACCAGCTTGATTTGCCTGTGCTGCTTAGACTTCCGAGGATAGAGCGCATCTACACCCTTTAGCGATTTGTAAAGCGGTATGGATCGCGGATCGTTTGTTCTTGGTTACCTCTTGGTTGGACCGGTTTAGTGGCAGCGAGAGAAACAGTTCACCGCGTCACGCTTTGCTTCCGTCCGATTGCGTGTGGAACCATGTTGAGTTGCAGTCGCTGTGTTGGTGATTTTCAGTTTTTTTCACCATGTCTCGAGTGCAATCTGCCGCTGTCAGGGGTGACAAGGGATGCGTTTTCAGCAGCTGCTCGCAGCATTGATGCTGAGCCAATCGATATAAATCTACATTCCATGGAGTGACGTCCAATGATGTGCATGAATTCCCTAAGCCCTAAGCTAGATAGGCTAAGTTCATCAGTTCATCAACAACTCCGCGGTAGTTTAGTGGGGGCCACATGGATCTTGCTGTCTTGCAGAGTGTGCGGGTCTTGGCTGGGTCTGCCCATCGTGGCGCGGAGTAACCTCACCGTGCACTTTGAAAGGAGCTGAAGGCCGCCAAAGAGCGATGGGAGGATTTGAAACTTGGCAAGGCGAGCAGCGGTGAGCAGCGGTGGGCAGGAATCAGTTTTGCTGTGTGGCTGCGGAGAACCATGGTCTCCTTTCAGGCTAAGAAGGAGGTGGCGACGTTCCCGTTCCCAGTCTCGGCGCTCCTGGCAGCGTAACTTGCCGGGAATTGGCGTTGGTTCCCGCAGTCGGGTTATTCAGAGGCTTCTTCTTGACACTAAAGCGAGATGACGCGGCCAAGGTTGTATATAGGCGGCAGCGAAACCGCAGAACTTGTGGCCGAATGATAGATCCAAGCTTTGCCTTAAAGCACTTCCTGTTGAACAGCTGTGCTGGCTCAGGCCAGGGCTTATGGCTCTAGAGTTTGCATCTTGTATCAGAAGCAAGGCCCCCGTGTGCGCTCGCGTATACACACTCACAGACAGCAACCAATGCAGAAAGTATCCAGCATGGGAACCTTGTTGCAACTTTCCTAACGTCTGCCCATTTTGCAGACTCCCTTTGTCAAGGAGATTACGGTGTCGAAGAAGTTGTTGCTACGGTTACAGTTCTTACTGGTTGCACGTTGCTAACAGCAGTTGCTGGACTCGATCAAGTCTTGACTTGACTATCCAACTCAGGTTCTCTGCAGATGTTGGGATCAAGTGTTGGGTGAAAGTTCAGACGACAACCCAGGGCTCTCGACTTAGTCCATGCCTCAAGGCTACTACTCCGGCAGTCCTTTCATTTAACCGCGCAAATCTATGTTTCGAGCCCTAGCACCCAAACTCCACGCTGCCGAACTTCGCGTTCGTCTGTTTCTTTTCTTGCTCGCAAAGAAACCTGTCTTCGGTTTCGGAAGTCGCACTTCTTGCGGATGCTCGTTTTGGCTACCCAACTGGCTTTCACGAAACACCTTCACCGCTTGGGTCTTGCTGCTCTGGGTTTCTGCCAAGGCAGCAGCCGCCGACAGCAAAAGCTTTCGCCTCTTGGCATTCAACTATGGATGTGGACTCTGCCAAACGGGCTTGTTCTGCTCTTGTGGTTGATCAGCGAGGATGTGTACGAGATACCGGTGAAGCTCGTGATCCACAGTTTGGAGCCCGAAGTGACGGTGGAGGCCCGCAGCTAGGTGTCCGAGGTCCCAGGGCCGTGCAAGGCGGAGCCTTTCTGCGTCGCAAGTGCTCAGGTGCCCAGCGCGGAGCTGCCTGCGCAGCTGCAGTCGAAGACTCTCGGCACCAAAGTCTTCGAAGCAAAGTGCCCGTGTCAGAGAAAAACTACAGTGGCTGTAGAGAGACGAAGTGAGTCCGAGCGAGTTTGAGGATCGCTGATGCGGCCGGGGGACCCGAGCTTCGCTTGGGTTCATGCTGCTGCGTTATCTGCGTCAGACAGTGTCGGCCAGTCCTGGGTTCACATCTTTTCCACAGGTTCTTGCGACGTGGAAGAAGCATCTCAAGAAGAAAGCTGCGCCAACCACCAAGCCTTTTTGTGTAGGACGAGTCCCTGTTTCTCTCGAAGAAACCCGACAATCCAGCCTAGGCCTTGGGGCATCATGCCAACCTTTGAATGGGCCACCCCGCTGATGTTCAGTCCAGCTCGCTGCAGTGCCACACCACAACACATGTCAGGTAGATGCCAACTTTGCGAAGCTTTTACAGCTGGATCCAGAGTGCTTGCACCCTTATGCAGCTTTGAGCACTTAGTCAGTCGTTTCATTCTGTGATCTACTTAACGGCTGCACATTCATCATTCTGTTTCTTCCGCATCTCAGGAAGGATGCGACGAGAATGACTGTACTGTCAAGAGGCCTGGTGATATCGCAACCATTCGTCCACTATGTTGTTTCGATGAAACGTCGTCTGTTGGCTGTTGGTTCTCGTGACAAGAAGAAAGAAGTCATGCAGCCAGTAGGTTGGCAGTGTTTGTGCATCTTGGTACAGATCTACACATTTCTGGCCGTGGAGTCTGCGCAAACAATTCGCTGCGTCTTCTGCTGCATGATGCAAGATATTCTTGGAGTAGCTGGATTCCATTGCACCTGATGTGTTAATGGTGATATGAATCAGGTGCTAACAAGCGCCCTACACAGGAGTAGTGCTCAGGGTGGCAGCAGTAGCTGCCTTACTTGCAGTGATGGGCCAGCTGCTTCTGATTTTTTCGAAAGTTTTGTAGCAAGGCTGACATGGGACTCTTGTTCCGCAACAACGGTTTCCGGATGGGCGCAAGATTCTGCAAGATGGGGCTCTCGAAAGGTATCACAGCGATCATGATCAGATGGGAAATGAGGAAGAACTGGCACAATGCCTGCAATCGTCGTTTCATTGTATCGTTGTGCCACTCCCTCTTCTGTATTGGAGTGATCTTGCCGTGAGCTGTCGGAGGTACGCGATTGGTCCTCCGGCAGCGCCGCCTGCTCCGGAAGAAGAAGAAGAAGAGAGCGACTTGGCGTCAGTGCCGTCTGCTGCAGCGGATGCATGCGGATGCAAATGCAGCTCCGAGCATGATGAGGCGAGGAGGAGAGCGAAGACGAGGAGGATGATGCAGAAGCAGAGGATCGCATCTCAATACTTACTATGCTGAGTCGTTGGAGCCGCGACGACGGTCGTCACCTTCACGTACAAGCAATTGAAAGTGTAAGTAGGTTTTTACGAATCTTTTTTGGCTCAATCTTGTTCAGCGCAGCAATCAATGACTGATCTATTGTCTTATATACTGTCTTGTATAGCTAAGATACCAAGAGTCCAAGAGGTGCAGGCATGATGTGCTCCAGACAAGATTCACCAAGCAGCCGAGCATGCCAGTGTAGAACTTCTCCTTCCGCGTTGCGGCTGAAGGGCAATGGACACGTGGCAGAATTACCATCTATGGCAGAGCTTAGGCCAGGCCGGCAGCTCAGGACACGTCGGCTGCAGACTTTTTGACAACTGCTCGAGGCCATACTTCAGTTTACCTTGAGTGGGGCCTGGCATTGCTCATCATGGCTGCGGTCCCTTGGCTCAAACTCGAAGAGAGGCTCGCAATGTGACTGGGGGTGATGTGGGAGTTCCTGCTCAGGTGGTCAGCGCCTGGCGCGGGGCCTGGCTGGCGCTGGACGCGCAGCTTTGGCCGGAGAGGCTGGGCGGGCAGCGCAGATAGCTCAGATAGTTGCGGTGTAGCAGCGCATGCAGCGCAGCGCCGCAGCGCTCTTTGCTCTTTCGCGGCGGAGAGGCCTGCGGCGAGTGCGGCCTTGGGCCTCGGCTGGGGCATGGTGCTTTTCGCAGTCTTGGGTGGCGCAGCTGCAGATCTCGCCTCTGACTCTCCGTCTTTGGACCTTGGCGCACTGCTCCGACAGGCTTTTCACAGCCGTGGCTGGCGGCGGTATGCTCAAGGATGAGGCACAGGCGGTTTGCGTGGCTGGCGGATGCCCTCTTCAGCTCCTCGACAGAACAAGGCCTGGAGTGCTCCGGTGATGATTTCTCACGCTGTGTGAAGGTTATGCTGGTTTGTGGTGCTGCGTTCTGGTCTGGCGCGGTGTCTGGCAGCTGTGGGACTGTGCTCTGGGGCCACTTGGATGCGCTCGCCGGAGATTTTTTGGCAGGTCTGAGTCTCAGCCCGTATGCCTTAGCTGCAGGTACTGCCTGACCCCAGGGGCCACAGACATGTCCGAGCCTCGGTCAGAGCCGCGTGCAGCGTTCCCCGTGCACTGTCGCTGTGCACTGGGCATCTGCAGGACCTTGGCAGCCGGTGCATGGTTCAGCCACGGCGTCGCCTGGCAGCTAAAGGAATGCCAGCAGATGGCGGAGATGGAGTGCACCAAAAAGACCTCCCTTGGGAGTCTCGATGCGGGAGTTTTGCAGATGCCAAGGTCGGTGTCTTGATCCTGATCTGTGTTGGTGGCGTACGAAGCCTGAACGCACCCCCGATGTTGATCCTCTCAGAGCCTCGGATCCGAAATGTTCAGAGTCAGCCACCCAGCCAGTCAGCCCTTTCCCTTTGGCCCATCCCACAGAGTTTACCGAGGACACCTTGCCGCCACTTTTTGGTGCCCGTGCAACCGTCGGGCTTCGTGGCTTTGCTCCTGGTCGGCGTCTCTCCGTGGTCCCGGTGATGCAGAATCCGAATGAGTGGCATCAGGCTCACGAGCTGCCCCACAAAGACGTTTGGAGTTTGCTGATGTTGTCAGCAGTCCTTTTCCTCGGTTTGCTTGTTGTCCCCTGTCCCAGGCCGTCGGGCTGCCTTATGACTCGCATGAGGCTGCGGAGGTGAACTGCGGGACAAACTGTATGTCGCCTTCTGCTCAGCCGGTTTGCTACGGTGACCAGTCCCCGGGAATGTCTAATTTGCGCATGTAAGTGGCAATTTTGGCAGCGCAAGAGATTTCGGCAAGATGCTTGAGCCATAGCTTATCGTTGTTTTCTGCTTTCTTTCGGCCGGACCTTGGCTGGTTTGTCATCTCAGATGCTGCAGCCATGGGTTCTGGCAGTTTCCTCCAGAAGTGGAGATGGAGAGTCACAGGGCACCTTCTTCGAAGGGAGTGCGTGTCTGTCCTAATTTTATCCTCTCTACGCATGCATCCGGATGGGCTAAGGACTGCCCTCGTCCCAAGAGCCAGAGATGTGAACAAAGAGTGAGTAGAGTAATTGGACTCAACACGGCTCTGTTTTAACCGGGGCGTCTGTCACATGGCATCTCTTCTCCGTTCTCCAATAAACTGCATGTCTACTCGGCATATCTCGGTCGTACTTGGCTCCCCATCAGTTTGCAACATTTGTACAGACGGCTTCCGATGGTCTATCGCTAAAGGCGATTTTGGAAGCCTCACCAGCAGAGTGACGTCTGCCAGCATATTGGGTGGTCAATACAGTAGCGACATGATACTCTTACCGACGCACTGCGCGTGTGCCGGGCTACCACTGGCTGACCTGTCCGCTTCGCGGTGGAAGATGCGGAAGATCTTGATCACTGCTTCATGACTGGCGTCTGCAGGTGTGGTCAGATTCCTGCTCATGCCCAGTGCTGTGCAGGCCATGAGGGAAAGGCTCGCAGCGCTGCTTGCCGAAGTGGAAAACTCTGCAGGCCTGGTTCTGGGTGGGAGTGGGATCGGAGCGCCGGCGCTTTTTGCTGCAGGCGACGGCCGCAAGAAGCTGTCGCCCGAGGAGATCGAGCGAAAGAGGAAGGAAGCCGAAGAGCTAGGCTGGGCCCCGGCCCAAATCCCTAGCCCTAGCCGCCGAGCCCTGGAATAAGAGGTGACAAGTGCAAGATCATGTCCAAGAAGGCTGGGCGGCGGAAGCGGCAACAAGCAATCGCAAAATACTTCTCTGCAGTCCTCAACTGCGGAGGAGCGGAGCGAACAGAACAAATCCAGAAAGGCAGGGGGCTTGAAAGGAGCTGACACACAACCGCTGTTCGACGTTTGGCCGGTCGGAGAGGAGAAGGCTGGCCAGCGGCAAGCGAAGACGGGGTCCAAGAACCGAAAGTTCGAGGGCGAGGGCGCCACCTCCAAGGACGGCCGGCCGGCCTCCCGTTTCGCGAGGGCACCTCCAAAGCGACTTCTTGAGCTTCTTGAGCTCCTCTTCCCTTTCACCAGGAGGAGAAGAAGAAGAAGAACACGGAGAATGTCAAGAAACGAGCTTTGGCTGCATGTGTCGGCTCACTACAGAGAAGCAGACAAGCGCGAGTTGGCAGGTTTTGGGATTGCCTAGTGGCCCGATCACCGCCAAAGTGATCCAGCCATCCGAAGACTGATCAGGACGGGCGCGGTTGGAAAGACCGGCTTCCCTGCATCTGCAGAGCTCTAAGACTGCTTCAAGTTGCTGTGCCCGCGCATCCTGGTCAGCCTGGTCTTTCAAGGAAGTATGTGAAAGTTATGTCGCCGTACGATCGAAAAATGGCCTTAAGCCTTAGACGACCGCGGCAGAAGTCCGCAGGCCGCAGAGGCGACTTGTGTACAGAGCTCCGGGAGCCTCGAGGAGACTTGCGGACCTTCCATGTATCAATGCAGCATCAATGCATTATACGAAGCAGTCTCGAGCGCACCCCGAGCCGAGCCGCCCCCCAAGTCTTTAACACCGTGGCCCAGAGCCGCCCCAAGGCGGTCACCTTAGCGGTGTGCGTCTGGCTCTCCTAAGTCCACAGCGGCAGAACCCGTCGTGGCAATCGTGTAACGGCCAGAAAGAACTTCTGCCAGCAACACGTCAAGATATCGCTTCATGTGTCGGCTTTGCAACGCAAGGGATGCCCATGATGCCAATGCCTCGCGCGCCACATGCAGCTGCAGTTAGGTTAGGTGGAGAGGATGGGAACTAAACCCCTGAACCCTAAACACCCAAACCCCTAAACTCCAGAACCCTAAACTCTAGAACCCTAAACTGGCAGCCAGAGTGGCTACAGCTTGATCGAGGAGCTGGCCGCGAACACTGCTGAAAGCATATGCCCGGAAGTGCATAAGACTGGGAGTGATTCCGACAGGAGCTCCGCAAGTTCTTTGGCGCCATTCTCGCCTGCGGACTGAGCAATCCCTGGGCAGGGGCGCGGCAGCGGGAGCCAGGATCTCGAGCTGTCCATGAACAAAGCGGCCTCGCTCAAGCGGCTCAAGCCTGAGGCCGGGGAATGGCGGCGGCCTTCTTCGACAGGTACACGGCGTACAAGGGGTCCCCGGTGCGGTCGAGGCTCTAAACGTCCTAGCGCAGGCTACCTGCCGGCTTGACCGCGGCAGAGGACTCCGGCGTTGTTCCAGAACCATCGTCCTTTGCCAAAATGGCGTGCAGAGGAAGAGCTCCGGGATCATCTTGTTCGAGCTTCACGAATAGCAACGAAGCTGCAGAGAGCTGGAATAGTGTCAGGCGGGGCAGGGAGAGCTGAGAGTGCAACGAGAGCGTTGAGAGGCAGCCGAGCTGTTGCCGCCGTGGCCTGAGAGCTTAGCCTGCAAAAAGGGAGCACGGCGCCTGACGGCTCTACTCTAGGCCTGGCAATGTGGTCTCCCTTCAAGAATGGGTGGAGTGGCCAGCGGCTCAGATGGCACCTTGTGGAGCACTTTGATGCGGCCACCGGACCGAGTCGGATGCCTGGAGAAGTGGATCTTGCCACAGATGCGGCTGGGCTTGCGAGGAGCTCAGAGTCTCTCTGAAGGCGTCCTCCGAGTCGGCCAACTTTGTTGGCCCGAGCACTCGCCGCAGGTCACGCTGCGACCTGCTCGGTCCCAGAAGGCGCCTGTTTCAGGTCAAGGGTCTCACGGGCTTTGCCGGGGCTCTGCCTTGGCCAGACTGAGGAAGACCACGGCAGAAAGCGGCCAGACGACTTCTTCAAGAGCCTCCCGCAGGAGAGATTCTGATTCTCTTGAAAGCGAGGGCACAAGCCGCCGTGCAGATGCCAGGACAGCTTTACTCCAGAGGAGGAGAGGCAGAGCTCTCAGAATCTACGCAAGGTCTTCCCATGATATCAAAGACCTCCTTTTGCTTCCTGAGGCTGCGGTTTGCCATCTTGGACTTTCTGGCAGGATGGACCGCAAAGGACAGTTTCGGAGCCTTAAGTTGGAATCGAGGAAGCATGTCTTGAGCAGGACCTGGCCACGATGGAGCATTTGCAGAACAATCCGCACGTTCTCGAGGCGGGGCGAATACAGAACAGCTCAGACAGAGGGTGCTCAAACGAGCTCTTGTTTGCCTTCGAGCTTTTCCAAAACCTGGTTCTGCCAGGCACAGCGCTATGTGCCCAGAGCCGAGTGTGCCTTTTGATGCTGCACGGACGGGATCATGCTTGAGATCATGAACAGCTGCAGGTTGAACGGCGCGGCCGGAGACTTGGGCCAGTGTCCTTCGGTATTCAGCCGATTAGGTCGTACTGGTAGCTTTACGTTGTCCAAACCGCTCAGGGCGTCAGCCTGAAGGACTGGATCGAGAGACGGATAGGAGGTGAGCTGACGGGAGCTCAGAAAAACGAACGGATCTGAAGTTTCCTGCGCATTCTTGTTGCTGTCGTCTGAAGCTGCCATGTTGCCAAGGACACTGCAGCCGGGTCGTGGGGGCTCAATGGTTGCTGCCTCATTCCGATATTAATATTCCCATTAAATGCTGCTTCTCCGAGAGAAGTCCTGGCCTTGGCCTCAGGTCATCAATTTGGCCCCCGCTGGTCGGCCTGCCGTCGCTGAGAGGGTGCGAGGGCTTTTTTTGCCGGGCCGGCGGGCCCAGCTTTCGCCTCGCTGAGCGCTTCAGAGAGCACACCAGGTCGAGCTGCTGCGGCGAGGATTCCATATGCCGCGGTGGCCCGAGATGAATTCGAGGCGTCCATGGTGTTCCACTGTTCCACGGTCTCTTGGGCTGAGGCCTGCAGGGATGCCTCTGCCCCATCCTCCGCATCCAGCACCCATGCCCATGATGCCGCCTGCGTGTTGGACTCAGACTCAGGCTGCCACAGCCATGGACATAGACTCAGACTGAGACCAATCTTCAGCTGAGGATGCGACCCATGCCGCCTGCATGGCCAGCCCAGAAGCCTGCAAAGCCAGCGGAGCCCGGGGGGGAGAAAGAAGGGCATCGAGATTCTTCGAAGTGCTGTCACCTTCTGGAGTGCTGCGGGTGAACAGGAGCGTGAAAGGCCGAAGGCTCGAAAAGACGAGGCCACTTGCAAGATCTGGCGAACAAGTATTTATGTTTCATTGCTAACGACAGTGTGCTGGTCCGGCTAGGCTGCTCGTGTTCGCGAATTGGTATTTGTGTGGGATTCGGGCCGTTCTCGGCTTCATGGCTGTGCAGGGCGTGCAGGGCGTGCAGGGCGGCAAGAAGAGCTTCTTCGAAACCTTGCCCGCAGACGTTGGGCTCTTGGGGCCTCCTCGAGATTCTTGCGCTGTTTCTGTGTGGCTGTCGCTCAGGAGCTTCTTCCCAAAGAGCTGGAGCTTCGTCAGGTCTGCCTACGCACCCGAGGCTTCTTGTGGACTCATGCGCTTATGACCCTGCTCTGCTCAGCTGCTTTTCGACCACCTGGACTGCTTCATCCAGAACGGAGGTGCTGGCGAGGGGCCCGCTCCTCGAAAGCTCGCAGAGCCGCAGAGCTCCCCCGCCCGGTTCTGATCGCGATTAGTCGAAGAGTCCTTTCCCAGCTGAAGGCCGATGTTGTCTTCCATAGCGCAGGGCAAGGCTGGTGGTTAGCGTTTGCTTCTTTTGGGTGCAAAGCTGCTGCGGGTGTTTCTTGCCAGGTCTGTCAGAAGCTCAAAACCGAGCTCTTGAAAAGAGAGGCCTGCAAGTGGATGCCATCGGACTCTACACTCTACACCGTGCAGATGTGCATGTTGAGGTCTCCCTCCGCGATTGGATTGATAGGCGGATTGGCACCGCCCTCGCCTTTTGTGCGCCCTGTCCACGTGGCGGACCCTAGCCACTATAAGGCGGCGAGATCGCCACAAAGGTCGCCTCAAATGGGCAGGCAGGCGACGTAATGACTACCATGACTATCTTACTCCAATAATGAGGCCATGACCCCCATGAGCTTCAAGCTACCGCTCTCATTCGAGTGACTCGCGACTGCCAGTTGAAGGTCATTATCCATTATCGCAATGAGAACGACCAAGCAGATGCTCAGGCGGGGCAGAACAGGAGTCATTAGCACACTGTTTGGTGCACGGATTTTTGCGCTCACAGTATTTGAATTTGCGCCTCCTTCATGCTTCTCTTCAGGTCTTGGACACATGGTATTTCTTTTTCACATTTGATGTTTCGCAGAGACCGACCAGCAAAGCGAAGTCTACATTTCCAGACGCTCACGGGCAGCGTGCCGGGAATGTCGCCCGTCCACTTCAGGAGCTGTTCAATCCCAACGGAGGGTTTCGGCCTTCGAAAAATCCCGGCAATACAGCGGAAGTGCACATAATTGGTGAGGCGATCTGGCGGGATTCGTTGAACTTCGCGGATGCATGCCGCAAGCGAGATGACCGTGAGTGCTAGTGAACTGTTGCATTCCGTGTAGAGGGATGTGCGTAGAGGATGCTGAGTTCTCGGCGTGGGCGGCGGCAGCAGTCTGGTCGACGACTGCGAGATGTGCGGTGAGAGTGCTGCCGTCGTGAGACATTTTCGACCATGGGCATTTGGCTTGGGCTCGCAAGAGGTCATGTTTGAATGTGACAGGGTGTCTGCTTGTTAGCGTGTCGTCAAGAGTGCAGCCTTTCGTCGCCACGTGACTGAGATGGCATCCAGCGGAGGGCGGGGTGGTCCTAGTCGGAGAGGGTGTCAGCGGGCGTAGGATTTATCGAATCCAGACTTGAGTGTTCGCAGAAAGAGGCAGACATGGAGATGTTGGAGCAGACGGCACGGAAGGTGCGCCGGGCGGATGCGTTCTTGTGATGTCGCGTGCTTGTCTGTCAGTGAGAGGGGCTGCAGAGATCGTTCATGCCTCGTTAGCACTCATGTCTCAGAATGCGAGGGTTGCTGGGAGAAATCTTTGATCTGGCATCCGTAGCTGTTGTTTTATCGTGGTCGTTAGTTTCGCCGGCCATGGCGCCGGCTGCGTCTGCCGATTTCAAGAGGGGTCTCCGGCCGCGAGATGTGGAGGCCATCCTGGGATCTGTGAGTGGGATCGAGGCTTCGTACGCCGTTCTCGTGCTGAAGACAGTGGCCGAGCAGCTGCAAGACTCGAGAGACGACGTTGAAGTGGCGATCGGAAGACACCCGGATGTTGTTGCGTACTGGGAGAGGGTGCTCGCAACTTGCGATCGTCATCGGCCCGCGCCTCCGGATGCCGGCATCTTTGGTTGTGCGCGGAGAGAGAAGTTGATGTACTTCCTCGACTACAAAAATGACCTTCGGAGCCGGTTTTTGTATGTGAAGGCTCAACTGAAGGCAGCGGTGGTTCGGCGCCGCTCGGGCAGGAAGCCGAGGCATGTTGGTTCAACCCGCCGAAGGCGGTGATGAGATGTGACGAGTGTGTAGTCCAATTAGCGTGGTGACCGGGGATTTGCGTAGGGGACGTTGATTACCCGGTGTGGGTAGCGGCGATCCAGTTTAAGAGCTGGGCCGCGGTGAAAACTGTACGGTTCGGATGGAGTGTCGTGCAGTGGCGTGTTGTCTGTCGTCGGTTGCCAGACGACGATTGTTGATGAGCATGTGATGTGATTAGTTTTAGTTCGAAGTAGGAACCGTCGCACAGGAACGTGTTGCAATGCATGGCTCAGAGGAGAGCGGTCTTCTTTTCATGTTGAGGCGTGTGCATGTTGCCTCTACCCACGACTCGCTGTTGTTGCACGCTTTCTCTGTGGGATTTTTTTTTCTTTCGCATGAATGGCACGTAATAGTTCGGACATTACATTTGACGGTAGTCAAATGTGTCTGGAGGACAAGTCCCAGATGGATGAGTTGTGCAGGCAGCTTGTAGTCGCACATCGTTGGCCAGGTGCGGCGGGCTGCTGTGTGGGATTTTCGGGAGGAGCTCTGTCCCTTATGACAGCAGGACACATAGGATAGCGTGTATGCTGGGAGCCCCCCTTTATGTCTCTGCATGATGGTTTCGGCCAGTCAGTGCGAGATGATGACCTACGCAGTGACCGGAGGGAAGGCTCTTGGCGGTCATGGGAAAGAAGCAGCTAGTGTTGTTGGGAAAATCAAGCCGTCAGTTTCGTTCGACATGACTTTCGCGCTGGCGTCGCCGCCGTCCGCGCCTCCTATCATCGGTCTCCGTCGGGAAGATGTGGAAGCTAATCTAGGATCCGTGAGTGTGACGGAGGCGTGGCACGTTTGCTACGTCCTGAAGAAGGTGGTGTTGGAGCTGGTGGACTTTCTTTCTGATCAGAGAAAATCCGGATGTCATGGCATACTGGAACTCGTGGTGGAAATCTGTTATCGTCATCGTCATGCGTCTCCGGATGCCGACATCTCTCGTTGGCGGCCGAGAGACAGATTGATGCGCTACTTCGAAGAAGAAGTGGGCCTTCGGACCTGGCCTTTGCATGTGGAAGCTGAGTTGCAGGCAGCGGCTTTCCGGCGGCGGTCGGACACGGAGCCTGTCGGATTATCCCGCCGAAGGTGGTGATGAGTGTGCAGTCCAGTTGGTGTGGCGACCGGGGGCTTGCGTAGGGGACGTTGATTACCCGGCATGGGTCGCGGCGATCCAAAGTAAGCGTTGGGCAGTGGTGAAAAAAACTGCGTTCGGATGGGGTGTCGTGCAGTGGCGTTTTGTCTGTCGTCGGTTGCCAGACGACGATTGCTGACGGTCATGTGATGTGACTAATTTCAGTTCGCAGTAGGAACCGTCGCAGAGGAACGTGTTCCAACGCATGGCCAAGACGAGAGCAGTCCTGCTTTCATGTGATATGCGATGCCGCTGGTTTCGGTTCGCGGTCCGTCGCAGCCTGCGTCTTCTGTCACGTAGGCGAGTGTCTTTAGTGATGATCTCCCAGTTTTTTTGTGGTGTGCTTGGCTCGCTATTGAAGCTGGAGGGGCAAGTTCGTCGTTTTGGTCGAACAAATTATCATGACGGAGGTGGGAAGGAAACTTGATGCATCGCAGGGACCGACAAGCAAAGCGAAATCTACGTTTCCAGACGCTATTTGCTGGTGCAAGACCTGCGCCAATCTGTTGCTCCAGCTCTCCAACTGCTTGGGTTGCTCCTCGGGCGAAGGCCACCAACCGTGCGGAATTTTCAGCGTGGCTACAAGCAGGTACAGCAAGGCCGCCAAAATCTTCATGACATCTGTCGAACAATAGTATTGACCAGTTCGGTGCCTTGGAAGCTTGGCTGAAGAAACAGAAAACAATTTACCAGACCTAAATGCTAGTGCAATCGATCTAGCGTCATTGCGTGATTCTTGCGTCCCTGCGATTGTTTGGTGATGCTTTTCTGACATAGATACTTTCAGGCTTGTGCGAGCAAGCAGCAAATGGCGGAAGATCACCCGAAAGCGCAACCTACCGGAGAGAGTTTGAACATGTCAGCGTCCCAGCCCTGACAGGAGCCTGAAATAGAAGAGCCCATGGAGGCAGATCCCTTTTTGTTTGGGCCAATTCCTTCCACATTCTTACTGGTTTCCGTGCATACTGGCTTGCTTGGTCTGCGCATTTGCCTTGAGCAAGGGAACGGAGATCAGTCGAGACGCTCAGGTGCGAACCCGTGCGAACACAACTTGTCCTTTCTGCCCGACGTCGACTGTGCACATCGCAGGCCTTTTTCGACGACCTGCCTCCTGATGGCTTCTTGCCGGAAGAGGAGGCTTTGAGAGAGGCTGGGATTGCTTGATTGTTGTAAGCGTAGCTAGAATCTTTACAGCTTTGGAAGCAATGGGAGGCCATCCTGAATTTTTTGGATAGCTCGGGCCCAGATGCGCCCCCGACACTCAGAGAGGCCCAGCAGGTCCCGGAGGCCGGCGAGTGTGGGGCCAGTGCTTTTCGTCGAGCGGCAAAGGCTGCGAGATGCCGCGAGCGCCTGCCATCAGCCTGGTTTCGGCACGTTTCGGCTCGAAGTTTTGGCTTCCGCCTTTCCAAAACAAAGAACGTGAGACACGACGCCCGGCTGCAGGAGAGGCGCCAGGGTCACGGAACGTTGGTACGCGACCTCCCAAGGCAATGCGGCTACTAGCCGGAGTGCAGCTTCTGGCAAGCCTGTGGCTTCTGCAGCCGGCATCGTCGCAACTCGATCAACAAATCAGCACAGCACCGGCAGCGGAAGCTTTCAACGGCCGAGGCAACAACTTGGCCAGATCAAGGGGCGCATCAGCATCCCCCACAAGTACCAGGCTGACATTGGCCTTGCGAGAATAGCGGAGCGGTGTCTTGAGCCCTGGCCAGGAAGTAATCAGTGCCGCCAGCGGTGCGGGCCTAGCAGCAGCCCGGGTCATCCTGGATGGAGGCTTTCCGTTCTTCAACAGTTCACCCCTGCATTTGCAACTTCCCGGTGTGTGTCATGTCAAACCGCTGAAACTTGGAAGCTTGGCAAGCTCGTTGATGGTGCTAGAGCCAGTGGAAAGTTCGACACCGACGTACCATGGCCTATGACCATCAGGCGGTGCAAGCGCGTCAGTGTTGATCCGTGACTGCAGGTCTCCTGTCGGCCTTGCCTGCTTCAGACGGGCGCTTCGGCAGATTGTTGCGGGGAGGGGACATCCGCGGTGTGCTTGTGAAAGGCGTTTGCACCCCGACAGGCACTTTGCCCTCAACGGCGTAGCTGTTGGGCCACATATTTTGCAGGCTCGGCGAATCCCCATGGCATTGCTCGAAGCTGCACTCTGCCCGTGCCATCGTCGGTCAACAGGTTGTTCATCCGCTGCTGAGCTTCGACCCAGTCAGAGTAGAGGCAGCAGAGGGTTCGGCAGGACTCAAAATGAGCACCTTGTCAAAGAGTTGGATCCATGACAAGGTCGAACCCTGACCCTCACTCCGACAACAAAGGTGCTTACATTGCAGACATGGAGCACGGCAAGGGGGCCTCTCGGTCGGATACAGTCCTCTCCCATAACATCGTACTCGACGTCTAAGTGGCCTTGTGCCAACTGTATCTCACAGCCACTCTGAGGTGAAGCTTAAATATCCCTTGGGCTTGGCACCCTCGGGCGCCTTCAGCTACCTCGAGAAGCGGGAGGACCCGACGACTGCAAATCTCCGCGAAGTTCTGACAGTTGGGTCCATTCACAGCCTCGTCGAAGGAATTCAACGTGCTCTCCGTCTTCAAGAGCCCGTATGCGCTTTTCGGCCACTCAGCGATGAATCGTCGACGAATCGTAGACTAGTTGTAAGCGTGATGCATAGCTTCGGTAATGCGTTCAGTCATTGCCAGTGCTGGACCACAGAGGTCTCGTCAGCATGGGTGCAATGTTGTTCCTTCCGAGCCTCAGCTGCAGATGAAAAGATCCGGAGCGTGCGTTCCGGAGATTTGGCCTGGACTCGGCCTGTTGCTTTGCCTTGGAACCGAGGAAGCTCCAGTCCATGGTGGAGGAGGAGAAGGATACGCCCTACAAGCATCAGACGAGAGTCTCGTAACGGTGGACTCTGGAGACTTTGATGGCATGTCCAGGAGAGACAGCAGCAAGAGCTGCAGCAACAGAAACCCGAGAAAAAGCAGGGAGCTCAGAACTTCACGGTTGATAGGAATTGACTGCTCCGGCGATTTTGTGCAGAGTCCGACCGGCTCGCAAGGACAGTTGAAAATTGAGAGATCGCGGCATTCCGGAGCAGTGTGCCGCTTGAGCGGCCTCCTCTGATCTGGCGTGCGCTGCGTTCCCCTTCCGGATGTAGTGCTCTCAGCCTAAGCCTGCTAAGCCTAGAGGCCCGGAGGCCTAGACTGCCACGCAGCACGCTCGGTTTTCTCACCAGGGCCTGCTCGCACGTGGATGGCAGAAATTCTGAGCTTGCGGCTGCAAGCCAATGAAATTCAGGATGATCTGCTGCATTGCTAGCATTCCTGAAGCCAGGCAGCGCACGCATGGCACATGAAGCCCAGCCTTCAAGGCTGTTAATGACGAGACCTGGTGCAGGGATGACACCTCCCAAAGCACGTGGATTTGGGTCCACTCAGCGCTTCTGGTGCAGACTGACCATCGTTCAGAGACTGGTCTTGCCGACGGCATTCGATGCCAGAGCACCAGTAGCATGCAGCAAAGCCGTAGTTTTACTGTGATCACCCTGTCAAAGCCCAGCTGTGTCTCTGGACGAAATGCAGATCGACACTTTGGCGTAAACACTGCGCCTGGAGGAATGTCTGATGCCAGAACCAGGTGCTTGTGTTGCGGACCGTGAGATGAATAGAAACTTCTACACTAATGGCAGGATGGTTCGATTGACGCAGGACACCAAAGTCCCAACACATGTTGCTTGCTTCGGAGATCACCGCAACGCTGAGAAAAGAGACAGGTCCTTGCACTTGACATTGGACTCTTTCGGCACATTAGCCAAGCAATTTTCCAAAACATGTTGCAGGTCATAGATGCACGTGATGCGTGTCTGTCCGGATCGCATGGCCCTTAGGTTGCTCAGAGGTCGAGGCAGGTTGACTTATCATGACTTATCCAATCGGTTCGAGCAGACACTTGTATCCAGCTTGTCAAGTCAGGTCTGGTGTCACCTTGAAGATGTGGATTGACCGCCGAATCGGCGGCGAGATTGCGGCATGGCGCAAGAACGGAAGGCATCGTGCACGGCAGTGCGAAGCGAAGGGGGATGCTGCATGCTAGAAGTCTTTCTTGCCAGGGGTGATGTGTTCATCGGTCGGCAGCTCAGAACATTGAAGCCCATACAGCTTCGAAGAATCAGCGGCATCTTCTGAGCCTTCTAAGCCTAGATGTGGAGGGAAGAACCAGACGGTCGGGGTGTGTCAAGAAGATGCCACCAGGTCTGCGGGAAGTTTGGGGAGACGAAGCTACTGTACTCGCCTCAGTCAAGGGCACGGCAAGCTTTGGCTTGACTGAGCTCCGCAAGGCTGCGAACCGCGAAGAGGCTGGGACACTTTGGTTGATTCCTGCTCCACATGCCGTCCGAGCCAAATTCACAGAGTTGCTTTCGCTTCGACCGTAGTTCGTGGCTCATTGGAATATCACTGCACTGTTTCGCGAACCACCCAGTCCACATCTGGTGAGTGATTTAGCACTGCATGCAATAGCAACTCAAGTCTCCACCCCGCGGCATTTTCAGCCATGTCGGACGAGTATCGGTTTCAAGTCGTCAATCCTGTGATCGCAAAGGACAGATCACGGCGGCGAAGTTGGGACAGCATTGCAGCGCTCTCTATCGACTCTATCGCATCGCCTGACTCCTGACCAGGATGACATCGGCAGGGCCAAGCACAGTTGTTTCCCGAAATATTTCAGCATGTTTCATTCAATACTTCGGTGTCGCTGAAGATTGTGGATCCTGCAAGCTCGGTACGCATCTCTTGTGGCACAGGCTACACCTTGCCTCCGGACAATCACGCCTACGGGCGCGCCTGCCCTCGGGATCCACAAGGCACCACCTCAGTTTGCAAGGGCTCGTGGCGATGAACTCATGTGTGGAGGTGCCAGGGAGGTGCTGAGCGCATGGGTGCCTCATCACCCAACGGCGGCCCCACAAGACCTGGCACAGGTGGCCCGAGAGGGATGGAGATTCTCTGCGCGTCTTTCGTTGGTTTGGGTTTGGGTGCGCTGTTCGGCTTTCCTGTGAGCCTATGAGCCGTGGCTGAGTGAGGCAGTCAGCCAGGCAGTCAGTAAGTCGAATGGTTCATGCTCCCGCCAGTCAGTCAGTCACAGTCACGCAAGTCCGTCAGAGTCAGTCAGTCAAAAAATCAGTCTGTTAGTCGGTCAGCTCAAGCTCCAGAGACATCACAGAAGTGTCATATCCGTATCTGCATATGACAGAGACATATATTCGTGTTTCATTGGGATGATGTACGGTACATCAGAAGTTTCGTATTTAAGTTTGTGATCTTCGAATTCATAGTCAGTTTCTTTTACGTGCGCACATATGATGGGTTATCTTATGCTAGATGTGCTCCTATTTGTTGTGGTGCAGCATGACATGATAAATACTTACGGTTTGTATTGCCTGCTTGTCTCTTATTTGTTCTGAATGCTGTACATATTATTTTATCAGTTTTTTTGCTACACTTTTCACTGCAGCCTTTGTGTATGCGGTATATACATCGTATCTTTTGCTGTAGTGTTTATGTTATACTTAAGCCAGTATGTTACAGGCTCGAACCAGGTTACACGCATCAAGTACATTCGGTATACAGCAAACATGTGTTTTTTTTAATCTCAGATAGCGTTATACAGATTTGTCAGGACCTCATGCGACCAAGAGAGACACTGCATCAATACCCAGATTTGCCCATTTCAACCCCGGTAGTTGTGCGTTGTCTTTGCAAATATCACGGGGGCTGCCGCTTACCGGTAACGTGAAAACTTTTCAAAATGCAAAGAGGGGATGAACACACTCAACAAGATGATCAACCCATAACCAGGAGGAGCAAGAGGGTAAACTATGGATTTGAAGAGATAGTAATAGTACCACGAGAGATCAACCGCTATCGGCTAAGAAGGGAGCGGGTTTAAGAAATGCGGCCAACCGCCATCGTTTTAAAGACTATGATCAAAAGCCACTGGCCGAATGACGGGTGGACTTGGGGGCGGGTTTGAACAATGCCATCAACCGCAATCACCTAATGAGGGGACGGGCTTAACAAAATTAAATGAGAGCAAACAGAAGCTAGAAATGCGTTCGAAAAGAGAATGGCACGAAAGGAGGAAGTAGGGAAGACGATCATACGTCCCAACTTCCCCAAATACGTACTTTGAAGGTACTTGTGTGCATACGCAATCCCGCCGTGCAACGATGCACTTCCGCGTATGCCCGAACGCAGCTTTAACAGACGTGATCAGCCGCCATCGCATGATGGCGGGATGTCGCCAAGTGGAGATCAGCCGCCATCGCCCAATGAGGGGGCTGGCTTAAACATCTGCTCAACCATGAGGGGGCCGAGCAATGTGATCAACCTCCATAACCTGATGAGGGGACGGGTTTAAAGCAATGTTCTCAACCGCAATCGCAGAGCAAGTTCAAGAACTGTGATTAACCGCCGAGAAGGGTGGGAATACTGTGTATCTGATTAACTTCCCCTAGTCAACCAGTGGCTTTGAGAGCTGTGATCAACCGCATCGCCATCGCCGAGGGGGTGGGCTTAAGACATGTGATCCGCTGCCGTGGAAAGAATGTGATCAAACGCCATCGTCTATTGAAGGGGCCGTCTTAACAACATGGTCGACCGCCATCGCCGAACGCTGGGGCGAGCTTAGAACAGTTGATCAGCCGCCGCCACCGAATGAATGAGGGTCGCTGATGGGATTGAATGTGGCAAGTTCTGTATGATCGGTCAAGTCAACAAGACTAGAGAGGAGACACAAAATGCACAAATACAGCTTGGAAAGAGGCCCCGTGTTTATGACTCTTTGAAGGCACCAAAACCCCAAAAAAGCAGCACAAAAGAACCAAAGCACACCCTAAGAAACTGTTCACTTTCGAGAGGTTCTGCCAAGGCTAGGGTCTTTCCAACGTTGCCGTGCTGCAGGATTTCCGTGCAATCAACAAGAGCGCTGCGAAGAAGGGTGTCCGGCATCTGGATGGCAACTTGCTGATGCCGCTCTGAGTTTTCCCCACCCTACGTGTAAAGCAAAGGACCGTGAAGCAAATGACTGCCTTTCGCAAAGCTGTCGACATCAGGTTGGGATTCGTGGGTTCGTCTCTTTTCTGTGTGAAAGGCTCGGCTGCCAGGCTGCACCCGCGGGCCGTTGAAGGTGCCAGACGGGTCGCGGCTCGAGATGCTGTGGATACAAGCGTGGCTTGGCGGCAGCTTCCAGCCTGGTTCACAGACGGGGCCCTCTTCGATGTGAGAGGCTACTTATGGGCGGGCCAATCTTCCGTCAACACCGATGCAAGACGTGCCAGGCTCCAAGCCCGTCGTGCATGAAGGTGTCGTGGTGTTGTGAGAGAAGTCCAAGAGGGGAAGAGTGTGGCTGCACAGGTAAGGCGCCAGCTAGAACTTGCTCAGGCTGAAAGGTGCCTTTGCCTCCGAGTTTCAATCGGAGCTGAGCGCACGTTACGAAGCCTATGCCGAAATCAATGCACCTTCGCTGCACTTGGCATATACCACAGGTGACGTTTTAGCTGGGATGCACCGAAGGCTTTAGATGCTCCAAACGGGAAGCACCGGATACGCACGACGAAGGCCATTCTTGGAGCAGCTGTCGGGCAACATGTAAGGGACGTGCACTGTCCGTGTTATCCAAGAATTGGTGCCAAACATACATTTTCTATGCGACTCTCTCCAATCCTTTCTCGTGAGATGGTCCTTACAGTTCAGCGCTTCATGGCTCGTTAGACCGAAGGAGCCAAGCCAGGCAGTTCACTTGAGGGTTTGCTATCCTCATCGCTGGGGAGCCATCCGCTACTCGCCCAGAGTCTTCCAGCTAAATCGTATGTTTCGTGCACCAGGCATCCACCTGCACCACCCGCAGCAAGCAACATCACTGATGGCTTTGTGTGCAGAGCATCGCATCGCCAGGGAATCGGGAATTGTCTAAGCAGCATTCGCCGACTCGCCGCTGCCAGGCGCAGAGTCTTCGCGTTCACAGCGCCCGTCAGAAGACGGTGGATCCCAAGCCCCTGCGGCCGGTGAGGGACCCCTTCAAGCCCGAATCTGAGCTTCACGGAGACAGATCCCATTGAAGAAGGCAGAAGGTCGCATCTCCAGGAAATTTCCGGCAAGGCTCGTCTCCAACCGCACGCAGCTGCAGCCTCTCACTGCTCGGGAGGCGCGTAGCGGCGTAGCGGATCGTAGCTTCTTGAGCTTTGCAGCTTGGCGGGGATATGCCGGAATGGGGCATGCGCGGCGGGGGACGAGGCGCGACGTTCCGATGCGGAGCAGATCGAGGCCGAGGCGGCTGCAGGGGGCCGGGAGTTTGGATTTTGGATCTCAGCCGCCCTCCACCCTGCGAGGCCGAGCCGCTCGGCCCCTAGCGGCCCCAGCAGGGCCCCAGCAGGGCCCGAGCAGGGCCCCAGGCCCGGTGGGTCTTTGACTTCAGAGGGAGCCCCGGCGGCCCGGCCCGCTTGGGCTCCGAAGAGTTCCTTCCGTTCCTTCGCCAAAGGCGGTTCGGATTGAGACTCCGGCGCTGCGAAACTTGGAGTTGTAGCTTCGAAGGAGCCGTTTTCAGGCACCCGAGTCTCTGAGTCTTGCCGGGTACATGCTGCAGATCTGGGCGGCATCTGACAACTGATTGCTCAGCTCCAGATCATGCAATAGAACAGCTACCGTTTTGGAAGGGAGAGGCTGAAGAAGGCGCTGTCCCTTCCCATGTCGAGTTCGAGCGAGCATGTGCTGCATTGGGATGTTCATGTTCAATTCTTTACTGTGTACTGTGTGAGCTCTGCATGCTCGCGGTGCTCGTGGTGCTCTGTGCATTCTGTTGAGTCGGAAGTGCAGAGTGCAAAAGTCTTAATTAAGTGGTGCAATTGCCGGTCTCTTGGCGAAGCGATCATTGGGCCTCACTTGCGACGGGAGATGCCGCGAAACACAGTCCACGATTTACCCGACCAGGTCCAACAAGCGAAGGGCGAGTCCGACAAGGCCTCTGCCGTCCTTGGTCGCACTCTCCTCCGGCTCTCGTCAAAGCGACACCATCGATGCCGAATTGGAGGCAAAGCGGCGGAAGATGGACGATGCTCCAGGCCCAGGTCTGCGGCTGAAGCGTCTTCGCGCTGTAGACCCCGAAGAAACCCCCAATTCAGAGAATGAAGTGCCATAAAGGCCGAGATCGAAGAGGTGTCGCAAAGGCCAGCCACAGCCATCCGATTACTTTTTAATTCTGAGCTCCTGCGTTGAGCCTATCTCAGGGTCGAGGGAGATGATGAGCCGCAGCTGCGTTCTCAGGTTTCTTGTCGCTGCTTGAGCTGAGTTGACCCACGGTGATTGACATGAATCGGAGCGTCGTAGCATCCTTGACATAGTTCGTTGTGGTGCTTTCGCCGGTGCACAATGAAGACTCTCTATGGTGCTGACTCAAAGATAAGCCTCCGCCAGAGAGAGGGCTGATGGCAGCACCAGTGCGAGCGCGTGCAAAAACTTGAGCATGTGTGCAGAGGTGCGTATCCTGAAAGCATGCCTCGCGACGCACGTGGCACCAAGACGGCAACGAGCGAACGAGAGCTACCGAGAGAGGGTGGGCTTCTAGCGCGAGTTTTGGTGGGCCGGACACACTCTGTCCCTACGTTCTGTTCCATGTTTGGACCCTTTTAAACCCCTCTCGCCGCATGGGAGTGGACCCCTTCTGTGAACCTCAATGATCAGTACATGATCCACACTGAATCAGCAGATGTCGACAGATGTCTAACGAGGAAAACGCGCTCGTCCTAAGAGCACTCTCCTCATCTGAACGCAACTCCGGTTGGAATGGTGAGATTGGAGCCCTCACAGCTTTGGGCATTTTGTCCGTGGCCGTTGTTTTTGTGGGAATGCATGCTAGTTACCTAGTTTATCAGCATATGCAGCAGACGGATGGCAACATGCATGTTCAACTGTCGGCTTTGTTGAAAGCAGTGATTCTGCCCGAGCGATGTCGCGAAGCCAAAGCCGCTTTCTTTTCTTGGGCACAGGAAACGCACCGTCCAAGTTCTTCGAATCGGCTTTGTGCCGGCTGCAGCCCACCTACAACTTTCACGTAGACGTTTTGCAAAGCAGTGCTGCGTATTCGGCCTTGGATGCAAAACATGGCTACGATGGCCTCTTGCTGTACAACTCGAAGGATGGGGCTAGCATCCTCAAGGACCAGCTAGCATCCGAGCGCTTGAGATGGGTGCATTGTTTCACTGCAGGGGTAGATGCCTACCTGCGCGATCCCACGATCAGAAGCTCTAAGATCCCCATCACCAATGTCAAGTCGGCTTACAGCGAGCACCTCGCGCAGTTCGTCGTTTTTGGCGTCTTATTCTTCGCCAAGAAGGCATTGCACTTCCGCAGTTCGCAGCGGGCCAAGCTTTGGGCTCCGACATTTGTGGAGGATGTGAAAGAGCAGTCGATCTTGATTGTGGGCTATGGTGACATTGGCACCGCATGTGCGAAAAAGCTGCATGGCTTGGGCATAACAGTAATGGGAGTTAAGTCACGGCCCGAATCTTCCAGCGATGACAGCAAACAATACGCGCAAATTCACGAGGTTGGTCAACTGGAATCTTTGCTGCCCACGGCTGACTATGTGCTGAACCTGTTGCCACTAACCCCCGCGACTCAAGACTTCTTTGATGCCAAATTGTTCAGCCTGATGAAAACCAGTGCCATCTACATGAACTTCGGCCGGGGGCAGACCAACAATGAGGTCGACTTGTTGGCGTCGCTGAAGGCGGGAGAAATTGCTGGTGCGGTCATGGATGTTTTCAAGCAAGAGCCGCTGCCGGGAGACAGCGAGTTCTACTCGCTTGAGAATGTTTTTCTCACGCCGCACTCTGCAGATGACACAGCGAACACCCATGACAACGCGGTGCGAGTCTTTGAGCAGGTGTTGCAAAGCTATCTCGCAAGCCAGGAATCAGGCAATGCCCTCCTAAATGTAGTGGACAAAGAGCGCGGCTACTAGGAGCTACGCGGCTACTAAGAGCGCTGCAGCAAGAAGCGGTGCGACCTAGCGAGACCAAAAAGCTCCGTCAGAGTCAGTGGACAGGCTGACAGACATGGATCTCGCTTCTTGCTCGCATGACGTTTCCTGCTAAGGCCCGCATGAGCACAAGCGATGATCACGGGCCGGGTGCCGGGTTGCTGGAGCCTTTCACCTGGCACCTGCGTCTCTGGTTGCAGTCTATGTGAGGTGGACTTGACCATGCAATAGTCTGCTCAAGCGTTCTTGTCTTGAGTGGCTCCCCAAAGAGACGGGATGCCTCGTTAGCGGCAAGCGCACACCGTCTGAGATGATGTGTTCTGCCAAATCCATTCTCTACGCGCTCTTCTTGCTGCTGGCCTTTCTTCCGTCGAGAGCGATTCGGGATACCTTGGGGGTGTCCGTCGACATCGTTCACGCCTTCTATTCCGCAGACGAGCCGTCGATTGATGGACTTTGTGGCTCCATCCACTCACTGTTGGTATCAAGCTCTCAGCCGCAGCGTCTCGTGGTGGATGTGGCAGTGAAGGCCGCGTCTATTCCTACCTTTCAGGCTCGGTTTGGCATGGACAAGTCGCTATCAGCGGCGACCACGGAAGGAGCCACCATCCAACTTCATGCGCTGGACGAGGCGAAGATGAACGAAATCTTCAAGTACCAGATGAACTACTACCATGAGCGGCCCGGACTGGACAAGTCACTCGAGAAGTATGCTCGTTTGTACATTGACACTTTGCTTCCAGACTCGATTGTGGTCTATCTTGACACGGATGTGGTGATACAGTCGGATGTCTTGGTTTTGGCAGATCGGTTGGCTGCAAGTGGAAAAACGATGGCCTTCGTGGTCCGGGACTTAGCATACTGTAGCAACTGTAGCGATGCCCAGTCCTGCTGCACTGCCGTCGGGTGTTGCTGCACTGAGGAGCGCGTGCCACGTTCGTCTTTGGGAGACTATGTGCATGCGGACAACTTGACCGATTCCGCACTGGCCAAGCTCGGCATCTCCCGCGGAGCTCTTGTTGCAGCAGAGAACGCCACGGAGTACAATGCCGGAGTCTTGGTTTTCAACACCAGGCGCTGGCAAAGCCTGGGATATCTGGACAAGGTGAAGCACTGGCTCCACATCAACTATGAGCTGCACGGGCAGCTGTTTCGGGGAAATGATCAAACTCTGCTCATGCTGAGTTTCGAAGTTTGGCGAAAGGCAGGAGACTTTATCGTTGTGGAAAGAGAGTGGAACGTGGAGGTGCATCACCAGCTCACCATCGACAGAGGCTTTTTGGCACACAGGGCCAAGATTCTTCATTTCAACGGCGTGCGGAAGCCTTGGCTTCCCAGTGAGGCGGAGGATCCCTTGGCCATGGAGCTCTTCCGACCCCACTTGGAGAAGTTCCCATCGCTACTCCTAAAGGGAGCTGCTCGAAGCCAGTTGCCGTTGCAGCCGATGCTGGCTGCGCTGGTAGCTCTTCTTTGTGCCCTTCTGCTGCTCGCGCTCTCCAAATTCTCGCCCATTTGGAACAGCATGATGCCTCCCGCGGAGTCCGCCTTGCATGCCAGCTTCTCAGCTTGCCGGTTGTCAGGCACAGTCAAGACGACATCGGGGCTGCAGCAGCATCACATCATCTGTAACAATACTGCAGCGGAAAGCTAGAAGTACTTGCTCGGCTGCTAATGGCTTGTCTTGTGGGACAGCACTACAGTTTCTCTAGAATTATGGCTCTGAATGTCAGCACCGGGGCTGCTTTGGGAAAAGTTGTTCAAAGTACCTTTCGCATCGAATCCTGGACCGTGAACGTTGCCCTGCAGAGGTTAACTTGATGGTCTGCTTCCAGGGGTTCATGAACTACAGCTCTGTGCATCCCAGCTGCATCTTTGTCATGGAATGCGGCAGGGATAACTCTTCCGTTTGTCTGTGAAGCTTTTGATGTGGCAAACCTGAGGGTGCTCTGCGCATACCCGTTGTGTCTGTCGCTGAATTTGTCGAATGCCGCTTCAATGTCTGGCCTGCTGATTGGCGTCTTCATGGAAGCCAGTGCTGTGGGTATGGGCGTGAGTTGGAAGATCCTGAACGTCTACCCGGACCTGTGGCGCAGGCACATCAAGAGCTACCTGGTGGCCGGCCTCTCCTGCCAGTTCTTCGGTGCTCTGGGCTTCTGCAAGGTCGCCATGGCCGTGAGGTACGGGCAAAGTGACAGCAGCCTGATCATGACTTTGTTGGCAGCAAGGATCTGCCAAGGCTTTGGCCATGGACTGAATGATCAGTTCATGAAGTGCTGCATCGTGAAACTTGCAGCGGCATGCGATCGGCCGCGGCACTCGCTCAAGAAGTTCGTGGCCAACACGCTGGGCATTGGTTGCGGACCCATCATCATCGCTTTGGCCTATTTCTTCTTCCACGACGATGTGGTGGATGCGGCGGGACTGACAAACGGAGCTCAGATAAGCATGCTGACTGCTCAGTGGCAGCTAACGATGACCATCACCGTTCTCGTCGGCGCCATCCTCCTGTATCCGTCCTTGGAGGACCGACTCGCGAGTTGCCAGACTTGTCTGAGTCATCGCGCTTGTCGCAGGACGTGTCCGACTTCGGCAAGGCAAATAGCCTAGTCGGAGGTCATCAGACGGCAGTGCTTCTTGCGAGCGGCTTGGCCTCAAAAAGCATGTTTTCCAATCTCAGGAGAGTGTTATCCAGGGCGCAGGGTGTCACATCGCCTGCCCTTCTCAGACTCGAGGCATTTTCATGGATGCGCTGCGCGGGTTCATCACCTCGGGCGTGGAAGCAGCATCCTGTTTGCTTCTACAGGATCATTTCGCGTGGCGTCAGGATAGCATTGGTTTTTGCATCGGGATGACATTCTGCTTGGTGGTCCCCGGCTATATGCTGCACAAGCAGTACCAGGCACGCTACAGCGACATCGCATGGATTAGGATCTACACCGGCATCGCTATGCTGGCCACCGCCCTGCTAGGCCGGTCGAGCAAAGGAGTTGCGAGTCAATGAACTGTAGAAGTTGCATTCAGGACACGTATTACAGACGCCTTGCACAGGCACTGCGCAGAAGCCGCTGGGCATCCTCGCGGCGGATAGCATCATATTTCCATCGATTTACTTGGCAGGTGCTTTGAACATGGGCATTCTGAACACCAGCGTCTTTCCGGATGGGTCGCTGCTCGATGCCAACAACGTCATGCTCATTAATGGTATAATCTCCAACGGTATCGGCCGTTTTGCAGGGCCCATATTTTCACGGTCCCTTATAGCGCACCTTGGGCAGAAAGCATATGCTTCATGCCAAGCTCTTGCCATTGGCAGCATTCTCGCCGCTTCTGGCATGTTACGCGCACCAATGCAGTAAGTGGACCCGTAGTGAGTGCTTTCGACGATCGAATGCGCTTTGACAAGAGCCGCTGCACAAAATCACGGCTCCCCACGTGCCATCCTGCCAGCGGCGTAGGAGAGAAGCCCCGCCTCTCCATCAGAGAGGTCATCCTTCTTGTAATTTTGATATCGCAATGCACCAACGCCCCTCGTGCATCATCGCCGTGCCAAAGACTCGCCGATAAGCGGTGCCGGTGTGAGGTCGCACCTCGAAGAGCTCCGCTTGGCAGCTTCGCCGCTGCTCCGCTGCACTCTTTTCTTCAAGGGACTGCTTTCAGCTGCTTCTCGCCATCAGAACTCTGAGACTCTAAGTTTGCTCTTGCTTGTCTAGATGTGTCGGGCTCTCACCAAAGCGCCACTCCTGAGCCGACAGAGACAGGTGACAGGTCCCCCTGGACTTGTGCCTCGCAGCTTCGCAGCCTTCGCGTTCGCGGCGATGTGATTTCCGCAATCATCCAAAAAGCTGAAGCCCAACCGCCGTGGCAGTGCTTTTAGTGCTTTTCGGTTGAGTGCTTTTGAAAGCCAGCCGTCCGCTGCACAAGGGCTTTCGGCTCAAGTTTTTTACAGTTCAGTCGCGTCGGCAGGTCGTGCTTGACAGTCCGAGAACTCAGACAAACGCACATTTGTATTACCAGATTCAGGATCTGCAGTCCTTTTGTCTAGTCGTCATCAAACAAGGCAACTAATTGTATCTGAGACATAGATGAGATGTCCTCAAAATTAGTTGCCTCATGAAAGCTTTGGTGCTGTCGACATGGCCGGGTTTGCGTGGTGAGTTTGAAAGGGTTATTTCGGAGAGGAGGCAGACACGTGAATGGTGAAAGAGATCGGAACTACAAGGCAACCTTCGGCTCGATGCGTTTCGGAAAGAATTCAGCCATCCCCTCAGATTACAGATATTCAGTCTGGGATTCCGGGTCTTCCTGGCAGAGTGAGGTGCAAGGCTTAGCCGGCGGTGTGGTGCCCCCTGGGCGGCACGACGTGTCACCTCCGAGCCTCGCCTCAAACGCGGGGTTTCCCGGGCCCGTGGACGACATCCAGAGCCCTCCACGGCAGAAGTTGGCCTCGCAAAGTCCGAGGTGCGGAGGTGGTGAGGTGCGGGGCTGCCAGAGAAGAAGCCAGTGTTGAGCCTGCGTCAGGCAGCCAGCGCCGCTGCTGGCAGAGAAGCTGACAAGAGCTTGTCAGGCCTTGCGCGGAAAGCTTACAAACTTACCAGTACCGTCCTTATGTAGAATCCATCTGGTGCAGGCACGAACAGCGTTGCCGTCGCAATGGCAGCTGCAACCAGCACCGAGACCAACCGAATCCAGCGAAGTTAGGCAAACTCCAATCTGCCATCCCAGCCCGTTGCAGCCAAGCCTGAGCCGTCAGGGGCAAGCTCAGACGACTCGGGCAGAGCATTCGCAACAGGCTTCGCAGAGTTCTTGCCAACCCTTCATCGAGTCTGCCGCAAGCGGTAAAGTGGACGACATCCAGAGCCCGCCACGGCAGAAGTTGTCGGCATCCGCCTCGCAAAGTCTGAGGTGTGGGTTTGAGTGTGTTTGAGAAGAGAAGGTGCTGAGATGCTCCGACAGGCAGACAGCGCCCCCGCTACTGGCAGAGACGCTGACGAGAGCTTGTCAGGCCTTCCCTTTGGCAGACATGTGTCGGGATGGGCTGTGGCTGACGACCATGTGCAGGCGCGAGCCAGTCAGCTGCAGCCTCAGTTGAGTCGTTTCCGCGAGCGCGACGTGTGGGATCCCACATGGCTTTTCCTAAGTTCAACGCAGCCGGGAGTCAGGCACATGCACATGTGTCTTTGGAGAGCTTTTGGAGTCAAAGCCAAGTTCAAAGAGGAGACGGAACCAAGTCCCGGAGCTGGCGACGAGTTTCAAGAGGCTCCAGGCGAGGAAACACGCGCGCAGTTGCGTGCCTGTTTCAGAGTCCGAGAGCGCTCGGACCGAAGGCGCAGCCCCAAGCCACGGGGACCGGGTCGGCGCGTATCGACTGCGATGGGAGCGACCGGGCCGCGTCCCCGTCCGACGAATCGCTGGCATCGGAGCTCCATCCGTCGAGGCAGGCGGTTTGCGAATCTTTGGGTTTGAAGCCCAGTGAATGCAGGCCGCCCCAACGAGACACGTCCTGGACTCCCCATGCCCTCAGCCGCTGCAAGCAAATGCAGCTGGGCCACACTTCTCAGTAAAGAGCATGTAAAGACTACTGCATACTACTGCAATGTGAAGCATCTCCACGGTGTTCTCCGCATCGTAGTGGTGCAGAGCCAAGGAGTTCTTCGCGATCTACATCCGGCAGCCAGGGTCGGGTAGCTGATGCAAAAGTGGATCTGTCGGCGTCACACCGCAGCAGCACTCTGAGCAGGACAAGTGGCTTCCGTGGCAACTCCGAGTGGCGCAGGCTTACGCAGGTGTCGATGTTCGAAGGCGGCATTGCAACACAGCTGGATGCGAATCACTGTCTCCGGAGGATGGACCGGGAGGACGACTCCACGACATCGCTTGGCAGGCACTATGGCCCACTTCCGTCAGTTGGGGTTGTGAAATAACCCCCACGCCTCATCGTTTAGTCTTCGCCCCGTTTCCCTACAGTTGCAAATGGTGCTAATCGAAAACCGATGCTCCGTGGTTCTCATTTGAGTGCCCATGCTTAAAGTGACGGTGCGCTCTTTAGGTGCTAGAGAATACTAGGGAACCGCATTCAGCGTCAGAGGCAGCCATTATCTGTCACACGTGCAACCTCAACGCCCGAGAGCTCTGAGGCTGCTCTTCAGGAGCTTTCGGAGTCCACGGGTCCATGGCCAAAAAAGCGGGTGTGTGGTGGAAAACGATATCGAAGCCATAACGCACTTGTCGCTGTTGGCCGGTTCAACAGCGAGAGCAGTGCAGACTGCACCGATGAAGTCTCAGGTCCAGGTGAAACCAAGTCGGGAGAAGTCTCAATCACGATGACAATTCGATCACAAGCAATTCCAAAGGTCAGCTAACAAAACAATGACCGAAGCGACAAGGTCAGGTCAAAAACGTAGGCTTTGTGAGTCGGGATCCATTCTGTGTTTTTGCACGATCAATCTGTAATAGGCTCGGTAGTAGGCTGCAACAATCTCCGTGCTCATCGAGTGCTACTCCTAGCTTTGTGCTATCGTAAGTCTGCCCTTTTCCACACCAAAACACCCGTGGGCCTAAAACAGCTGCTCCAGCCCCTGTTCTTGACTAGATATCTTCATCAGGACAAGACGCTGAACATGCAGTAGATCAGCTGTATCCAGTTACTAAAGGCGTACTACCATCAAGATTGCTGTAGTGGTTTTGGTTGATAAACCGATGGCAAGAAGCAAACGGGATAGCATCACTTGCGGGATCGCGAAATTTATTTGGGTTGTTTCACGAACCCACGTGCACGAACAGCCCCTTTCCAGAAGACCCGACTTGATATTGTTCCGCCCGCAGCTTGGGAACTGCCGCCGCCGGGAAGACTGACAGTGGCGCTTTTCCAGCGAACGGCGCGAGCACGGTGAACAACCCGATGCATGCAGGCGCGTCATGACTCCAGAGAGTGCAGGTAGGTTTGGGATGTTTGTTGACAGCTTGCAACAGTCGCTGCAAGCAAGTATGACCAACCGATGTCGCCTGAGCTGCGCAAAGGCTTTCAGCCCGCACCGAACACCTCCTTTGCACCCGGCAGCAGCGATGCTTTCGCAAGGTGCAGCGTTGTTGAGCATATTTCAGCGCACGTTGGGATTATCGTGAAGTTGTCAACACAGCCGGCCGGGCAAAGTGCATTCCATGAGCTTTCAGGCAAGCCTGCGGTGGTGTTGAATTGCCGCGCCTCGGTACGAATCAGTATGCCGAAAAGCCGAAGACATGTTGGTCATGTTGGAAAGACCGTGAAGAGCATTTGTCAACTGCTCAGTGCCCCCCTCAGGAAGACCGGCAGTGGCCCTTTTCCAGCGAACGGGGCGAGCATGGTGAACAACCCGATGCATGCAGGCGCATCAGAGAGACTTGCAGATAGGCCAGGTAGGTTTGGAGGACGTTGCAGCTTGCAGCAATCGCTGCAAGCATTCATGACCAACTGGTACACACAGGCATTCAGCCCGCGCCGAACACCTCCTTTGCACCAGGCAGCCGCGATGTTTACGCGAGGTGCGGAGTTGTTGAGCACATTTCAGCGCATGTCGGGATAGTTGCGAAGTTGTCTCCACAGAAGGCCACGCAAAGTGCATTCCATGAGCTTTCAGGCAAGCCTGCGGCGGTGTTGAATTGCCGCCCCTCGGTACGAATCAGTATGCCGAAAAGCCGAAGACATGTTGATCATGTTGGAAAGACCGTGAAGAGCATTTGTCAACTGCTCAGCGCCGCCCTCAGGAAGACCGGCAGTGGCCCTTTTCCAGCGAACGGGGCGAGCATGGTGAACAACTCGATGCATGCAGGCGCATCAGAGAGACTTGCAGAGAGGGCAGGTAGGTTTGGGGGATGTTTGTTGACAGCTTGCAGCAGTCGCTGCAAGCAATCATGACCAGCCGATGTCGCCTGAGCTGCGCGCAGGCTTTCAGCCCGCACCGAACACCTCCTTTGCACCCGGCAGCAGCGATGCTTTCGCGAGGTGCAGCGTTGTTGAGCATATTTCAGCGCACGTTTGGATTTTCGCGAAGTTGTCAACACTCTAGGCAAGCCTGCGGCGGTTTTGAAAAATTGCCGCCCCTCGGCACGAATCATTATGCCGCAAAGCCGAAGATATGTTGATCATGTTGGAAAGACCGTGAAAACAATCAATCATCTTTTCACTGGTCCTTCTCAGGAATACCGGCAATGGCCATTTTCTAGCGAACGGCACGATCGCGGTGAACAACCCGATGCATGCAGGCGTCATGACTTCCAGAGAACCAATCATGAGCGACCGGTGTCGCCCGAGCTGCGCGCAGGCATTCAGCCCGCACCGAACACCTCCTCTGCACCCGACAGCAGCCATGCTTATGCGAGGTGCGGGGTTGTTGAGCACATTTCAGCGCATGTCGGCGAAGTTGTCTCCATAGAAGGCCGCGCAAAGTGCATTCCATGAGCTTTCAGGCAAGCCTGCGGCGGTGTTGAATTGCCGCCCCTCGGTACGAATCAGTATGCCGAAAAGCCGAAGACATGTTGATCATGATGGAAAGACCGTGAAGAGCATTTGTCAACTGCTCAGCGCCCCCCTCAGGAAGACCGGCAGTGGCCCTTTTCCAGCGAACGGGGCGAGCATGGTGAACAACCCGATGCATGCAGGCGCATCAGAGAGACTTGCAGAGAGGGCAGGTGGGTTTGGAGAGCGTTTGGTGACAGCTTGCAGCAGTCGCTGCAAGCAATCATGACCAACCGGTACGCACAGGCATTCAGCCCGGGCCGAACCCTTCCTTTGCACCCGGCAGCAGCGATGCTTTCGCGAGGCGCAGCGTTGTTGAGCATATTTCAGCGCTCGTTGGAATTATTGCGAAGTTGTCAATATAGACGGCCCCGCAATGTGCATTCCATGAGCATTCAGGCAAGCCTGCGGCAGTGTTGAATTGCCGCCTCTCGGTATGGATTATTATGATGCAAAGTCGAAGACATGTAGATCATGTTGGAAAGAACGTGCAGAGAATCCGTCACCTGTTCAGTGGTCCTTCTAAGGAAGACCGGCAGTGGCCCTGTTCCAGTGAACGGGGCGAGCATGGTGAACAATCCGATGCATGCAGGCACGTCACAGAGACTTGCGGAGAGGGCAAGTAGGTTTGACAGCTTGCAGCAGTTGCCGCAAGCAATCGTGAGCAACCGGTGGCGCCTGGGCTTTCGCACAGGCATTCAGCCCGGGCCAAACACTTCCACCGATGGTTGTGCCAGGTGCAGCGGTTTTGATTACGGATTGCGGATTGTCTTTCGAAATGTCTGTTTATCAGTTGGCTCCGCAGCGTGATAAAGTGCTGAAAGCTGCCGCAAGGTGCAACAACCGCACACGGGACCAGTGTTCCATAGTGTTTCGGAAAGCCTAGTTATTTTGATTTGGGCAGTGTGCTTCAGCCATTCGGTGTGGCATGCTCGCAGATTTTCCCCACGAAAATACAGCGCAAGCTAGCGCAGCCTGAAGAAGCTTTTGGCAAGTGTGCTCCCATTTCCTCGTTTGAGGGAGCGGGTAGCGATCAGTGATTTTCTGAGGCCAGCCTGGGCCTGTGGTGGTGTGGGCGTCGCCCTTCCGCCTCTTGGCAGAATCCCGCGAAAGACCACTGTCGCACGCAGCAGCAGGCAGCAGTGCGCGCAGAGTCCTAAGTCCCAAGGCCAAGCCAAGCTAGGGCAGACGAGGTGCCGCACTGTTAATGCATGTTGCGTCCAGCACCAAAACTGATCAGTTTAGCCTTGGCTTCCCACAGCAGTACGGGACCCAAACAAGAAGAAACCGGCCCAATACAGTACACATCAATGCCAATATCAGCTAGCGACAGCCTCTCGTACATCAAACGCTGTACATCAAACTCCCCGGACACTGCAGAGAGAACGCGCCTGACAATGGCTTGCTGGGTCGCCCACGTCAAAGTGGGCCTATGTGAACGAGCTGGCTTCCACCACTTTCCGGAAGAAGGTCCTCCGCGCTTTCGAATACGCCGATCCACGCTGGCCTGTGCTGTCTGCCAGAAGATTCCACTGAGCCAGCTAGTCTTTCATATGCTCACGGGCACATGCATCTAGAGGGGAAGGCGTTCAAAGAGCATCGAGCCCTGTCTCACGCAGTCCCTCAGAATGCGATGCCACAGGTCGCTGCTTTGCAAGTCATTGACAATCACCCTTTTCAGCCGAGTAATGTGCCGACGTCCAGTGAGGCAAACCATGCAATGCGCGGCAAGGGTAGGACCAAAGGGATACCAACAAGTAATGTATCAAGCAATCAGGAAGTGCATCAAAGGTTTAGACATCTCGTACCTGCGGCACGCACGTCCGGGCTGAAAGGTCATTGCATTCAATAAGCACAGTATGAACCCCTGGTGCGCGGTCACGACTCTCCCGTGCAGTGAGCTCTGCGTGGTGATAATATGAAGATCGCGCAGTGTCGACCTGCAATATTGAGAACAAGGCGCCTCGGACGAACCTTCGCCTATTGTGCTGGAAAGGAGCATGAGCTCCACCAAGTCGCCACGACACAGCCCTGAAGGGCCGAAATCACCGAGTGCCATGGGCCATGATCCCTCAAACGTTCGGTTCTGCTGGCCTAGCATGAACACCTATATAGACCAAGGGGCGCTGGTCCTGGCTATGCCGCCGTTCCTGGAACGCTGCCCAGCGCAGGCCGGCACAAAACAAGCTGTCGGACCTGGGACCTCTCGGACCTCGCTGAGCTGCCTTCGCAGGTTGCCCATCTTCGACTCGTGCTGGCGACAGGATGGGACGGCGGCGGCAATCAGTCCTCGCTTGGCTCCTTGCTTGGCTTCAGGAGTCAGCCGAGCACCGCCCCCGTGCAGCCCGTGCCGCAGCCCGTGCCGCAGCCGGCAGGTGCGGGGCCCCGCATCGTTGTTGGAGGACGCCCGGGCTCTCCTTTGCACCCGACCAGGGCCAGGGCCCGCCGGCCAGCCGAAAGCTGCTCCGACAAGGCAGGGCCAAAGGCAGGGCCAAAGGCATGCACCCGTGAGCTCCCAGGCAGATCTACACGGGGGTCCATGTTCAGCCCCGTGGCAACATTGACCGTGCCGTGTACCGGGATGCAATCCGAGCTCCAGCGCTTTTCGACACGGGCTCTTTCTGGGGCCCCAGGCTGGAGCTCTGTCCTCTCTGGTCATCCTTGCTCTTCGTGGCCAAGTGTCGACACTGGCCGCCCGACCTGCTAGCCGAGGCCAACAGCTGAGAGCTGAGAGTTGGAAGCCTCAAACCCTTCCTTACTTTGTCAATTCCCCCTCAGCGAAGAGTTGATGCAGCAGGTCATGTCTTGGCCCAGTGCCCAGAAAAGAGACGGCGAGAAGGGCGAGCAGGTTTGCATTGGACAAACTCAAGTCTTTTGTTCAATCAGCGACCGACGACAGGAAGTCTCCTTCAGTGGGGCCCACTACAAGAGTACTCTGGAGCGATTCGAGGCCGGGCGCCTGTTGATAGATGTTTGCAGCTCTGAGTTTCAGCTTTGGGCTTGAGTGCCTCTCTCACGATGGCGAGCGATGCAGCAAGAGGCTCGAGCCACTCTTTGCAACCCTCGACTTCGCTATGGGAGCATGTCGAGCAGTTTAAGTGCAAGTGCAAGCTCAGCTTTCTCCAGCCGTTGTCGCCATGGTCAGCAGGAACAGCGTGTGCCCCGGTCCAAAGCCAGGATGGACGAGCATTGCACAATTTTACTTGCTCGTTGCCAGGCTGTCGTGATGTTTGTAACGGCTGCATGACTGTTGCGTTCTCACAGGTGCTTCGCAAGGATTGGGCTGGTGCTCTGCAGAGGCTGGCAGAGTCGCTGGACAGCAAAGTGAGCAGCTGAAGCTGCTGGGGAGCGGACCGTTGCCGAAGCTCTCGATGATCCCGAGGATGTGGGACTTCAACCTCTCGCCGAGTGCTATTGCCTACACGCAATGCATCAGCTGCTGTGCAAGAGCAGGCTGTGGAGGGAAAGTGACCGTCAGGGTTTACGCGCCCTGCACCTGTTCTCAGGCAAGCTGACGATGGCTCTTCGTCTTCTGCGTGAGTTGCGAGCGAAACCAGGAATCGAAACAGATGCAGGGAACTTGGACTTACACACGCACTCAGAGACAAAACACTGTTTCACGCTTCCCTGTGAGGAGCAATCTTGCAGCAGTAAGTCACATAGGAGGGGAATCCGGCATCAGTCTGTGTCAGGTCGTGGCCGTGAACGCCGGTCTGGGCGCCTGCGCACTGCGGGGTGCCTGGCGAGAAGCGCCGGAGCCTCGCGAATTCCTCGAGGGCGAGCCGGCGAGCAGTCGGCGAGCTGTGCCTCGAAACTGCAGGTTCCACTTAGCAAGAACGGTGCCCTGCATGACTTTGCTGCCCTCCGTGGTGACCTGGTCCTCCACGATCAGCGCCTGCGAGAAAGGTGCCGCCCCGCTTTCCTCTCGCTTGGCAGGAGAGTGCTTTCTTGACTCTCTCCTCCAGGTAGCAATAATTGGCCTGCAGTCTTCAACATTTTCAAAGTGATGCGCGAGCAGCAGCCTCAGTGGGTGACCTCCGCAAGTCGGAGTCGGAGTCAAGAACGCAGTGAAGCCCAGATGCATCATCCGCCCCAACACCATCACCTTGAACGCCGGAATCTCCTCATGTCGGAACTGTTGGTCGCAAGCACTCTCCTTGGCCGCCCGGCAGCGTCAGCGATTCAAAGGGACCAGAGCAGCGGCACTTTGGTCAGAGAGCCTTTGCCAAGCTTCAGGCTGCCGGACAAGGGCCCTCGGCCGCAGAGACGCAAAGAGACCTCCTCAGTTACTCTGCGGCCATCTCCGGCTGTGAGCGGGGCAGCCAGCCTGCGGCCTGGTCGATGCCTGGTAGTCAGGTGGTCACTTTGCTGAGGGTGGTGGAACTCTCGATTCTGCAGTGGCTAAGGTGGTCTCAGGCTCTCGAGCTTTTGCAAGCCGTCTCGAAGATGAGTTTGCGAAGAGACGCTGCTCGACGGTTTTTCTGCATATGCTCTCCTTCTCGATTTGTGCGATGCGAAGGTTCCGTTCTTCTCATCGGCAGTCAGTGCCTGTGAGAAGGGCATGCAGTGGTTGACGACTCTCCAGCTTCTCGACATGCTCGAGGCCCGCTGGCGTGAGACAATCACGGGCAGTGCGGGCAAGGGGTGTGAGTCGCCCTGTTTGCCTAGAGTGAAGGCACAGCAGCTGGTTCCAGACGTGGTGGTGATGGGTGCTTGTGCCCCGGCGCAATGGAGCCCGCGAAAGGCCCTTCCTTGTCGGGGGCCTTGAAGGTACGAAGCCGCTTGAAGCCTTGGGCCTTGAGGTCAGAGCCAATACTTGTGGACTTCGGCTCTCCAGCTGCTCGAGGACTCGACAGAGAGGAGAGAGGAGAGAGGAGAGAGGAGAGAGGAGAGAGGAGAGAGAGGCTCACAGGTGCAGAGGACGATCTCAGCTGTCGCAGGAGCTTCCCGGCCGCTCCCTGGTTCCCAGCCTGGTCTTCTGCAACGCAGCCCTGAGCGCTTGCGCTCCTCGCTGGCGCTGGGCTCTGCATGTCCTTTCGGCTCTGAGCCTGGGACTGCGACGACTGGGGCAGTTTTTGTCCTTTCGCTTTTTCGCCGTGCGACGTGCCTGAGACTCCGAACCGTCAGGGGCGCATGCACACATCAGCCCGATCAGCACACGTTCGTGGCGGCCATTGATGCCTGCGAACGCGGAGGACACTGGCAGCTGGCCTTGGATCTGAGCTCAGCGTGTTACCACACAGGTCGTCGTGGCTCGCTTCTCTCAGTGATGCTCTCTGCTGAGGACCTGCTGCACCGTATGGTCAGTTCGCACTTGGAGCTGAATGCTACTTTGATTGCAAGTGGATGTCGCGTGTGTACAGGCCTTGACGATTGAGCTGCATGAGGCCTATCCCTTCAATGGGGTGTCCTCTGCTCTTTGCGGCTCCGGACGCTGGGAGCTTGCTCTGGAGTTGATCTCGCTGATGTTAAGGCCAAATTGGAACCGTGAGTGAATTCAGAAGTGCTGCTAATGCACGCTGACACGTCCCAGCCGCTGTCCTGAAGCAGGCAGGCGCTCCGAACAACTCATGTTCAACATGTTGCTGTTCATCTTCTTGCCTGCAGCTGTGGGCACACGGGTCAAGCACTGCATCAGTTGGCACCGATCTTACTTCCAGTGTCAACTTCGTGGAAAAGCCGGAATGACAGGATGCGCTGTCGGTGCATGCCATTGAAACTGAGGACGAGCTCTCCAATGGCAGTTTGAGCCACTTGAGAGCGTTTGCATGAATCGGGAGTGAAAAGATCAAAGATTGGCTTGCGATTGTGGCGGGGTTCGTGGTGTCACGGTGCACTTGCCCAGCGATGCTTTGGTCAGGGACTTTCGTCGAAGGGACTGCAGCTCTCGGCCCTGCCATCCTGGGCATGTGCTGTCTGCGTCCTGGGAATTTTTGAGGGGGCGTTGGCAAGCTGCTTCTGTGCCCTGGCGGCGACCATGTGAGGTGGTGGGCTTCGAGAAGCCTGGAGCACCTGTGTGTGGTGGGCTCTCAGCCTGCGAAGCTCGTTCCAAGGCCTGGTGCGGCACAGCCTGAGCCAATGCTGATCCTGAGCTCATCATATCTGAGCAGGTGGCAGAGTTTCTGGAGTCTCTGCCGCAGGCCGAAGCGGTGCACGCAACAGATCCTCAGCTTCGAACTTCTGCATCTTTGCCAACTCAGGGCTCCGCCGTGCTCCCGTACCAACGCGCACGGGCCCCAGCGGCCTCGATTCTGGGAAGCGGCCAAGACTCAGTTCAAAGGAGTCGGTGGAGTTCGGCCTGCAACGTGGCGGCCGCGTCTTGCTGGGGGATGAGATGGGCCTCGGGAAGACGCTGCAGGCCCCTTCGAAGCAAAGCACTTCTTGTCTTGTCTTACGTTAGAGGAAGGGTCCCGGTCCCTGCTGCTTACGAAGGCTTTGCTCCTGGCGGCCCAGTACGAGGCCAGGCCGTGGCCGTTGTGGAGCTTGTCATCGTCGTCATCACTCGTCATCGCTTTGTGAATCGTGATCATTGAGCTTTGAGCCATTTTGAGCCCCTGAGGCCGAGTGGCCCTTGCTGGTGGTGGCTCCGTCCTCCTTGCGCTTTGTTTGGCGTGAGCAGGCTTGGACCCTGCCATTGTGCGTGGCAAAGCTGGGGGGGCGGCCGGGACTTGCGCTAAGGCTGCGCAGTGGCTTCCCCATCTTGTGGGTGCAGACGGCGGCCAGGTGCAGGTCATCAGGAACCCGTGCACAGAGCCGAGGGCACACTCCTGCACCTTCAGACAATGCTGTGTGACAATCTGTGACCGCAGCAGCTTTTGCTGCAGGACCGGCAAGGACAAAGTCAACAAATGTGCTCGCGTAGTTGCATGGAGCTCGGGCCAGATCGCTGCAGGGAGAGAAATGCTACACATGATGAGCGAGATGCAAGGCTCGAGACTCGAGATCACATGTCAGACCACATGGCATAGTGAGTGTAGACATTTTGGGCTCGCAAGTAAGACTGTCTATCGTGACTAGCGCGCAAGCACCTTTGAAAAAGTGGCTGATATAGAATAATGAGTATATCACACGGTCCACATACTGGATGTGTTCCAGAATGCCCATGGACAGGAACGGAAGACCCATTAATACACGTGCCTCTGGTCCTAGCCAGTGTTTCTTCAGTTGCAGTTCGTATGTTTAGTCTTTTGGTGGGAGCTGTTCGTCTGCTTATGCTGTTTGTGTGAGCATCAGTGATCACCAGTGTTTTACGCAGTAGTCTTATGCACGGTTGTTGCTGTCGGTAGCCCCAATCTTATCTCGGCACCGTCTCGACGGGGCTCGTGGTTTGCTTGTTCAGGAATTCTGGCTTTTGACGCTGGTATGGCTAGTAGGAAAGCATGTCGGTACTTACAGCCAGACCCTACTGACTGTTAGTATTCGGTACAAACACTCAGGCTGATTGCCAGTATTACTGGCTCAGGAACCGGTGATCAGAACCTTCTGTTCTCAAACATCCCAGGTCACAACTTACGATCTGCTGCGGCGGAGCGAGTCCTTGCGACGCCGTGCCGATGGAGACACGCTCAGTCCAAGACCGGCAAACCGCCGTGTAGTGTGTTAGCGCGGATTCCGGTGGATCTTGTTCCTGCGAAATCAAAGCATCTGATGTGCTTTCCGTGAGGCCGTGACTATCTTGCAGTCATCGTGGACGAGTCGCAGAACATCAAGGTGTCGGCCAGATGGATGCATCACGAGGTGGCAACGTATGCTTGCGGACTGAGGAAGCAAGCAGCCAAAGAACCAAAGTCGTGGTTCGAGCCTCGATCAGTTTTCCGCACAGTGTTGCAAGCAAAGCTGCTTGAGAGAACTGCCTTTAGCGCTCCGAGCTCAGGTCGGGATTTGCAAGGCTGCACGCCGCGTTCTGCTGTTGAGTTTGCTACTCAATTGGCTATGACCACTTGAGTTTTGCCAGAAGTTTGTGCAATAGAAGACGGCAATCTGATCGACAACACATGCACTCGTGTGGTAGCACACGAGTGACTGCCATCTCGGTGTACCGCACCAAAGCTGCAAAGTCTCAGCGACCACCATCTCCGAGGCGGCACACCTGCTGTGAATCGAGCGGCTGAGCTCTACACGCAGCTCGAGGCAGACCTGCATCGAGACGGACATGAGCAGCTGCGGTGGCCTGAAGGCTCTCCTCCCTGCAGAGATGCCCAGTTTTGCGCAGTTTGCGGAGCGCTTCTGCTACAAGCAGCAGGGATCCCAGCTGTCGCTGCTTCATGCAGGAGATGTGTCTCGTCTTTTTGTGAAGTCTTTTGCGCCAAAGCGTCTGCAGACAGTCTCGCACAGATGATTTCGTGTTCCAAGGACGCAGAACTTCGGTGGCCGCAGACAGATCAAGTGGATCGGAGTGCAGCGTTCAGAAGAGTTGCATTGTCAGAGCCTTGCAGGAATCCGCGGACTTTAGTGGTTGTACGCAACGTTGAAAAGCTGTCTCTGAGTTGCATCAAAGGTCTGCTGAGCACCGTGATGAAGAGGCAGGCCCATCGTCAGAAGCCTCGACGGCGTGCGAACAGTATTTTTGTTTGGTGGCGTGCCGCCATCTGACAACCAACCAACCAACCAACAGAGTTGCCATGAGTTACTAGTACCAGCATGGGTGCACATGGCAGAGCCTGCATCTGCGCAGTCCAGGCGCCTGAAGAGCCAGGTTCTGCAGCAGCTTGGGCCCTGGCGTAGTGGAGGCTTGTCCAACCTGCGCGAAAAAGCCTTCCGCAGCCGCGGTCCAGCAGAAGCGAGGGCCGGTTTTGCTGTAGTGATGCCAAGCTTAGGCTTCCAGAGAAACGGCGCATGCGAGTGCCCTTGGACCCCGAGAAGATGAGCCAGGCCAGGCAGAAGGCAGAGGAACGGTCTTGGACTCTGCACTGCTCTGCACCTTCGCTTCAGGAGAAGCTTCGCGACGTGGAAAGGCCTGCTCTCGATTTTGTTTGACTTGCGTTCGATGGGCATGAAATACTGGCATCAAGAATGCAGCACGCCCTTGTCACAAGTGAGAACCAGCATTGCTATTTGCCATGGCACCGTTGTCATCATCATCACAGGAAGGAGTCAAAGCACAAGAACCTGTTGAACAGCAATAGTTGCAGTGTTTACAGTACAGTTGCTGTGCAGGAATACTGAAACTGGACATGGTTAACTAGCCAGGCTAGTCGTGGCAATTGAGTAATAGAATCTACCAAGGCTTCTTTTGCTGCCGAGTGCAGGCGAACTCGACAAATGGGAAACGTGGACTTCAGCTCAGGGAACGGGAAGGCTTCTGCGGCCCTGGGACTCCAAAGTCCCTTCAGACCCAAACTTCTGGCCAGGCTCTGGGAGACACTGCTCAGCTCTTCCGAGACACCGCCGAGGCACTGGCCTTGCGTTTTGTCTGGACGGTTCCTGCTTTGGGGAACTGAACGGAAGAACTGCATCGACAGGCCAAGTTGGCGGCGGTCCTCGACTACGCGAGAACCTCAGGTGTCGCACGTCCGGTGTTGTGGCTCTTTACAGTAGTGCTGCCAGCAGAACCCGAGGTTGAACACCTGCTGAGCCTGGAGACCAAATTCCTGATCTTTGGTCTTAGTCTTACCGTGCACTGCAGAAGGAGCAGAAAATTGGCTTAAAGTTACCGCTTGGCGAGTGCCACAGGTCACCATCGTCTGGTACTGGATGCAAGGGGCCCAGTGCGACATGCTGAGCAGGCTTGCTAAACTGATGAATATACCTAGTTGGAATCAATAGCTAGGGCAGCTAGGGCCAGCTGGAAAACTCGGGCTTTGAGTTTTTGCATTGGCTCGTCTGTGTTTGCAAAACCATTCGATGTTCACGGTTCGCTTCCCTGTCCATTTGGCCATGTTGCGTGTTGTGGCAGCTTGGAATCATCTCCAGGCAAGGAAGGTCCGAGTCTCCCTCTACATGGAGCAATACGCGTAGTCTTTCGATGGTCATTGGAGCACCGAGAGGACCACCGACACAAGCTAGGCTAGGCAAGAAGCTAGGGCTCCTGGTTGTGTTGCTGTGACTCGCTGTGATAAGGCGCTGGAAGACAAGCTGAAGAGGGCACATTATGGGTACATCAGTGCCTGGGCTTTGTGTATATCGTTCACATGTGATGTTTCGCGTGACTTACATGAACGAGTCTGCAATCCCAGCCCCTACCAGGAATTGATGGCCACACGCCGCTTTGGCTGAAGTTGCTCCCGTTGGAGCTTTCGTGTTGCTCCAGCCGTGCAGGGCTGCGGCGGAACGGCCAAAGCTCGTCAGCCAGTTCCAGGAGGCACCGTAAGCCTGTAAAGAACCCGCTTTCTCATCGCAATAAGTCTCCAACGAGGACAACAATGTCCGCGTTGCAGTGCTGAGCATCACTGCCGCGGGGACTGGGCTGACACTTACGGAATCGACCTCAGTGTGATTTTCGTTTGAATCCTGTGTGAGATGCCTGCAGAGCATTCCAGCAGCACGCTGTTCTCAGAACTCAAACGCGAGGCCGCACAAACCGTTGTCTTCGCTGAGCTCTACTGGGTGCAACAAGAACACCAGCCTTTCCGAAGAATCTCCTGCACTAGTTCCGAGTCGGCCAGGTACCTGGGCAGATGCAGCAAGCGGAAGATCGAGCGCATCGGATTGGCCAGCGGGACTGCGTCTCTGCCCGCAGCTTTACATCGCAGCTTCTCGAGCCTTGCTACGAATCGTCCATAGTCGGCAGTGCAAGGTCCACTACCTCATCGCGAAGGATACTTTGGACGAAGTGCTCTATAGAACTCTGGAGAAGAAGACCGTCAGTCAGATGCTGAGGACACACACACACACACACACAGGTGACCCACACGCAGTCCATCGCCCATCTGTGCAGCCTGCCCGAGGCACCACCAGAATCCTGAATGGGCATGGATCTGGCCTGGACATGCTGCCGTTTTCCTCAGATTCCTCAGAGTCTTGCTAGTTCAGGCTATATAGGAGATGCTCTCGCGGCTGCGAGGCAGCATTCGCCGGAATGCGATGTCAGCTTAAAGCGTGCTAAGCCGAGCCGATGGTGTTTGCGCACGCGTGCCGGCAAATGCAAAAAGCCCTGCCCAGGCAAAGCGCACAGCAATCCGGATACAACAAAAACAGAACAGCTGGAGAAGTGCCGGCGCAGCGATGCATGGTCCTCACTCAGCACCTGCAAGTATCACAGGCTTTACGTGCAATGTCCAGCCCTGTAAACACGCTGCAGGCTCTTGGCATTCCCGGTTGCTGACCCGCAGAACCGCACAGCAGGTGGCCGGTGGTTTGTCTGAAGGGAAGCTGAAAACCAAACTAAGTAAGTAGGCTATTAATTGACATGACATATGATTGTGGTTCTGTGGGCCCAATTTCGTGAGAGCTTCCTCAGTGTGATGATTCCATTCGTCGGCAATTCGGCACCTAAACCGAGTTTTTTCGCAACGTTCCGCATATCTTTGCTGATCCGTTGTTTCAGCACCGGTTGCATTGGGGTTAATGTGCGAAAAATGAAGACGAGTGCTCCCAGAGTTTGTCAGTCTTGGCCTTTCTTCTCTGAGAGCAACCGCCTCACGGCTCGAAGCAAGCAGGAGGCGGAGATATGCCAGTAAAAGCTCGTCTGTAGTGGGTTCAATAGACTTCGTTAAAACACCGTAGAGAAACCAAAATGACGAAGCCAGGAATACGTGCTTCAGGCTTCGGCTGTCCTGAGCCATAGTGGATATTGCGAAATGATCGGATGAGCCCTCCAGCATGCGGCCACATGCAGCCTCTGCAGAGGCTGAGGCACGCGCCCAATTAAGATGTGTCTCTTTGCAGAGACGGCAGCAGACTGGACACAGGTGGTGACCGTTGCCGGTGTTGGATCACTGGTTTCGGAGGCAAGTCCGGCGGCATGCTGGGCAGAGTTCACCTGCTTGTGGTATACCTCGGAGGATTCCGCGCGAGAATCCTTCGACTTCTCCAATTTTCGCATTGGGGAGGTATACTGCGTAAAGCTCGAATCTCGCAGTTCACCGCTGGTTCCTTCGAGCTTGGTTTGAGGTGCGAGGATGGCGGCGCTCCTTTTGCCAGTCCAACTGGGTGAATGTGGCGTCCTGGGCCCAGCACCGAAGCCCCGAATATGCTCTCCTACGGACTTGCTCGATTGACAGAAGACGGTTGTGCGGAGGTCCGGGGGTGTGTGTCTGGAGAGCAACGAAGTCGCAGCGCTTGCGATGGACCGATCCTCGGACGCGTTTTTTTTTTCTGTCTCGAGACTGCGAGTCGCTGCGAGAGGTGCCCGCTGCCGCTGACTACGTCAGTCGCACAGCTGCACAGCTGACCACTCATTGCAGAATGGAGCGGACCGGTGAGTGGCCTCCAAGGCCACGTGGCGCTCCTGGACGTGGTACCGTCGGAGCTGCCAGGTCCTTCTGCACGGCTTCGCCACTTGGAGACGTCTTGCGGAAAGCCTCGTGCGGCCAGGCTTCTACGAGAGAGAAGCCGGTGCTTCGGGCACGTTTTTGCTGACCCCATGCAATGCACATGGCATAATGTGACGACGCCGATGGACAGGATACCGAATCGTCTCGGTGCCTTTTTCCGTCAAGGGCTTGCTCCTCAGAGTCCGCTGTAGGCCGGGACCCCCATCAGGCTGCGGCTGATTGATTTTGAGGTGACGAGGGCTCCTCTTCTGTCGAGGAGGGACAAAACGCCCTGATGTGTCGCCGCCTCGGAGAGGCGCCGCAGCAGGTCCGGTGGGTCTTTAAAACCTCACAGCAGTACTGCAGTGGATCGCGGCCCGTGTCTGTGGCCTCAGTCGATTGCTGAGCGGCAGCAAGCTGTCGCGAGGTGCCGCTTGTGACGACGATGCCGAAGCCGACAGGCCGAGCATGGCCGAGCGACGTGGGCAGGGTTTGATTTGTTGCACGGGTGCAAATCTGAAGGCTGTGGGCCCTCGATGGTGAGATGGCTCGGTGTTGCGAAGATCAAGGCCTGCCGCTTTGGAAATACGAAATACGGGGTCAGACGGCACATTGCAGGTGCGTCGGCATGTTACAATCTGGCTGTTCGGAAGTCGGCAATGTCGAGCCCAAACAGCTTTGAAACGGGAAGTTGGAGGCGAGATCTCATTAGTCTCATTTAGAATACAGGAGGGTAAGGATTATGCGCCACAGCGACTTTGGCATCCAGTAACACCGAAAGTTGGATCCCCGTGCATCTGCTGCAATCGAGCGACTGTCAGTCTCGATCTGAGGTTATGTGCGTGAGTGGATGAGCCGAGCGCTCAGGCCAATGTGGCCGGCACCGCAGGACAGCTGCCATGCTGATTGTTGTTTGCCGTGTGCAGCATCTTGGCATGCTATTTGCAGCAGAGCTTGCCCAGGCAGACATGCCACCCCGCCCATGTGACTGCGCCGGAACTGCACGGTGACTTGCACGCAGGTGCACACGCAGTGCGCTCATGCTTAGACGTGGGCACTGGCGACGGATTGTATTTTTGTAGAGCTTAGGTCGGTTGAAGCGCGCCTGTCTCCGCCGATCTCCTTGGAGGAGCTGCCCCGAGGCCTCCTCCTCAGCTCGTAGATGCGAGGGAGCCTCTGAAGCATCTGCACACGATTTCGGGCCGCTCTTTGAGGACTCGTGCCAGGATTGCCGCTCTACCCCGTGCCCGGGCTGCCTTTGCTCCCTCATCTCAAGACTCAAGAGCTTACACTCCATCGTAAACCTCCGAACTTTGACTCCTTTGAGCTCTGCTTTGAGGCTCCCGGCTACTTACGGGATTGTGCTCCTCAGCTGCATGGGACGGCCGTGGCAGCTTTTAGCAAGGGAGCTCGCCTGTTCTTGCTCGAGGCGCAGGCACACAAGGCAGCCGGGCGCAAGCCTCAACAGCACAGCGACCCAGCACGGGGACCGGGACTGCAAGCACTGCAAGCAGCTTGCAAGGCTTTTGCAGCACTTCTTGGACTCAACTTGCTTGTCGGACCGCAGGATGGCGAGATAAGAGAGACAGATAGAGACAGCCTGCAAAGAGAGATGAAAAGCATAGCCATTGCGAGAGGACAACCTTGACTGACTACCTCGCGGCAAATCCCGGCTTGGATGAATACATCCGCTTGCCTTCCTAGTCTCCTACTGTAGCAGTGCCCCGGAGCGCTTCAGGGCTTCATTCTGACTCTGCGACATGCGAAAAGAGATCTGGTTGAATGCGTCTCGAAGTCATGGGTGGGGTTTGAATCGTTTGAACATGGTCAAAGCCTCCTCTGGGCACGAGGAAACATGCGGGAATTTGATTCTTACAGCAGTTTCGGCTCCTGCCTTCAGCATCTGTGGTCTATGTCAGGGCCGCTGAGACATCTGTGATGGGTAGCACGCGGTGTGAGCCATGGGAAACTTGGGCAGTTTGGTCCAACCACCGCCAACTCAACACAGCCAGCCCCCGCATCGCGACAATGAGCCCTGGAGGCCATATGCTTCAGCCCAGCAGCAGGTTTGCGTGATTAACTAGCAGCTTACAGTAAGTTTGTTCGCGAGCTTGCAGTCCGTCGCGCCACGAAGCATCGTGCTCGCCCTGCTTCCCCGATGTCTTTGTCTCTGATTCTTCATTTGGTTTATCCCCGCCTCTGTCTCTGAATGCATTTGCCCACCTTAAAGATCTTAAAGTTAGCAGCGTTTGTAATGGGGATTCCCTTTCAGAAATTGGTGTGCTTTACGGGGGGAGCAGTCAGGTAATTAACACCTTACTTCATATCTATCGAGATCATGTCTGACTGGCAAAGTACTTGACTGTGTGTGTGTCTGTGCAGCTAGGCGCTAAGCACCTATGTACATGAACAGCTAGCTCACTACCTACAGGTAGGAACTTGTCCACGTACATCGAGTCAAAGATGTATAGACCTATAGTTTTCTGGGTCGGCATTCTCCAAAATGGCATCGCTGAATCAGGCCGAGAGTTGACAAGATGTCCGCCTTGCACTTGCTTCGTTCCCGTGAAACACCGGTTGGCATCGGCCTCAGACTGCTTTACCAAGGTGGTGTCACCAACTGGTATTGTTGTCTTTAAGATGCACGTTTGTTGGAAGGACTCATGCCTGAGCTGGTCAACGCCACTATCGGCCACAAGATGCCCAGCGCACGTGAGCTCACCATGCTTCTTGCATCTTTCGCGAGGCCCGGGCTGGCATGCGTTATCTTTCGCGAAGGGCTCGCCTCGTGCCGGCGTTTGCATCTGTTCGTGTCCTGACAGGCGAGCATTGTGGCGGTCAGCTGTGGTTCTGCTTTCTCAAGCACGCGATGTCGTGGATATGCCAGCTTTGGGTGTCTGGCCGAGATTCAGAGACTTGCAAACTGTCTTTGGCACGTTCCAGCTACATGAGTTCTGAGGCGCTGCTTTGGCTGCTTGCGAGAGGGGCAGCCAGTGGCATATTGCTGCTGCTCTGCTGGAGGACGATATATACTATAGACTCTAGACATTCAAGACCCACCACGGACATCACGGGACGACCGCGCAGGATTTCCACTTGCAGCTGCTTTCGCCTGATGATGGGGCAGCTGCGTCTGTTCTCTCAGCACCTGGGCATGGGAAGTTTCCTGCCCCCTCCCTCTGTGCTTGAGAGATGCTGAGCACAATTCCATCAATTGCGAGGGCAGTGTCTTAACTGTTTCAGGCATGCGGCAAGGCAGGTCGCTGGCCAGCAGCATGCCAGCTATTCGAGACCCTTATCAGGCCACAGGGTTAGGGTTGTGGCCGGGATCTGAGGGCATAGGCTGCAACTTTTATTGCGGGGAAGAAGCCGTGGCCACTCCCCCAAAGACTGCCAACGGTCGGCATTGTTTGCTGCAAGGACCAAAGACAGAGGTCACCGAGAAGAGGCGTCGTGTGCATCAGTTCTGCGTCCAGGGATGGAGTACTTCGATGTGGTCAGTTGACGTGCTATTAAGCTCTGAAGTGTGAACAGGCAGCTCGACATGTTCCGGTTGCAGGGAACCGGAATTGTAGGTCGGTAATCCCTACGAGATGTGGACAGCGAAGCGCGATGCCAAGACTCTTCGCTTGCACCGCCACGCGTCCAGACCTTCTGCAAACTGGGAGCATCTCCAAGATCATGTGGGGCGCATTTGCACAGCAGCTGACCCACGGCCTTCCGTGACGAATTTGTACAGCATCTAACGATAGCGGCGAGGTCTGGCTCCCGCGGTGTCAGCCAGCCTCTGCCTTCAGCCCCATCTCTGCGGCATGTTGCAGCAAACTGCGAAAGTCAGAGTTGCTCATGTTTGCCTTGCCAAAACCAGATGCACGCCGATCTTCCGGCGCCCCAATGTTTCGCCAGACGGTTGTCAGAATTCAGATCCCCGAGATTCTGTCAACCCTGCCTGATTTCCGATCGACCAACTCTTGAACAGGCAATGCGTCAAACTCGATATGGTAGCACCTAGACGCTTCACGGTCTGAAGAGCAGTGGTTGCACCTGTCGGACATTTGACAAGCGGACGTGACCTACAGTACCGCTTTCCTCAAGGCACGCGTCCCCGATTCAGCGAAAGAGCAAGCTGCAGAGCTAGGCTGCGTCTGAGGAAGAGCGATCACGACATTGCCAGTGATCAGGCTGCACCAGTGGAACGAGGAGTGTCCGGGCAACCAGCCCATTCCCAGACTATCAGAGCATTTGTGGTACCAGCGCTTGACTCTGTCAATGCATGTGTGAGGGTGTCCGCACCTGATGCGCAAAAGCGACACGGGGCATCAGAGTTCCGACCGCGATGTCGGGCAGTCGGCCCGTCAGCGAAGCGGTGTAAGCGTGGCATTGGCTGCCACTGCCCGTGCAGCCGCAAGCTGTCAACATGATCCAAATTTCAAGCATAGTCGTTTGCTACAATCAGCCGGGCATGCTGCAGCCGCTCCTTTACAACACCTCTCGCGCAGCCGGGGTGGATGCCCCATTCAACCGGATGCGGTCAAATCACGCGACACGAGCGACATCCAGCATGAAGGGGCCCATAAACAGGAAACTTGAATGAGACGCGTCGTTTCGGCATCATGCCCGCCAAGCTGGCCTTGAACAGCGAGGTTGCGTGCCATGTGGCCACGATCTGCATGTGGGGGGGGAGAAGGGGGGGGCAGCACGTTTTTCTGAGCAACGCCAGATCGTCGACGTGACGACACTTGTAGCAACATCATCCAGGAATGCTGTCAAATCTGTTTTTAAACGCATCCCGGTTCCTTTTTCCCGGAGTCCTTCGCACTCCCAGTGCACAAACTACTGCGCGAAGTCCGGGCGAGAAGTCCTCCAGTCCAGGCCCGGTGCACCCACTCGGCCACGTGGGAGCAGGCGGTTGGGGAGAAGGGGGGAAGTGTTCTGTGTGCACAGCACCAAGACGTCGCGCTCAACTGCATGGGGTCCCCGCATCGACGTTTGCAATATGTTTATGATTTTGTTCGAACGACTTTTTGCAACTAAAATTTGTTGTGCTAGCCGTCCCGGAAGGCTTGCCAGGATGGCCACTCCTGCCAGCCTCTTCGCTGTACGCACGCTTCCTCGGTTGCGTGTAACTGTGGCGCTGTTTTTTCTTTGCTCAGTTGGCACGGCAGTCGGGCTAGGCACCACGGTGACCAGGTTCCGAAGGGCACGAGTGTGAAAATGTGCTGTCTATAGGCTTGGGAAACAATTTACCATCCATAGCAGACACGCGAGTTTTTTGCATGCAATTTTTCTTTTCTCCGACCGCCAAAGAAAGTCCTTAGAAGGCTCCAAATGTCGCTTACGCGGCGCGCAGCGGTAGCAACCAAGGTAGCGTCGGCTCGGCAAGCTCTTTAACTTCGCTCAGTGTCGGCTGCCTCTTCTGCTTTGGTGAGCGCCAAGGGCAGCGTGGACGCGAGCGCACATTGCTGGGCACAGCTCAAGAACCCCCACCAGCGGCGCCGCCAGCGTAGCGCGAACGAGGCCATACAGGAGAATACAAGACGAAGTCAAGCCGGCGCCGATCGCCGGGTGGCCCGGGATCCCGGGCGCGGTGGTGTGCAGAAACCACTGTTTTGGCACCACGCGGCCTTCAGCGCCGACAGCCTCGCGAGCGACCCGCACCCATGCACGCTCCAGGATCGGGGCACGTCGGGCCAGCAGCCCGCTGCAGGCACACGCGGTGATCGCTGAGCACATCGACGCGGGCGCCACAACCGGGCTCGCCACCGCGACCGTGCCAAGCAGCTGCATGCAGCTGCCTTTGGAAGAGGCAGGCGCAAGCGTCGGCGCAGAGCGATGAGCATGTCGGGCGGCGCAACTGTGCTGCCAGCGTTAACTGGGATGGCTGGCAGCCACTCGACGGCGCGGGCTCTTGACTTTGAGTACAGCAGCAGCGCACGGGCACCAGCACGGAGGCTGGAGAGGAGGCGCTCGCGATAGGACGTGTTAATTGCGCGAGCTGCCGGTCTTTGCCAGCCACGAAGCCAATCCCCCGCGGCTCTGCCGGCTCATCGGGTGCAGGCGCTCGGGGCTGAACACCTTCCATAAACGTGAGCTGCCCCGGCCCTCAATGAATCTAAATGACGGCGCTGCTGCTGCTGCTGCCGCTGCTGCGTCAGCAGCTGCCATTGTTCCATATTGTTCCGATCTGCCGGCGGATCCTCCACAAGCTTAGCTCGTGCCGCCAGGAGGCCTCGTGCTCAGTCCGTGATCGCCATACGGGTCCAGCCTCCTCCTAAAGAGTGCCATTCCGAATCAACGACATCATGCGAAGCGTTGCTAGAGGAAAATACGCACGACGGAAACACGCTACGCCTGGCCGATCGCCTCGCTGCCAGCAGTGCTGGGTGGCCTTGGCCTGCAGTCCGCGGAGCGCACGGCCCCGGCTGCCTACTGGGCGGCGTGGGCGGACGCACTACCGGTGATGCGCGCTCGATGAGGTGACAGCCGATTGCCGATTCGCTGACGTCAGCTGCCACGCAGCGGCTGACGGTCAAAGCACAATAGGGTAGTAGAGTCTATTGGTGTTTTGTATGGACCGCTTCGTCTGCGCTGGCACGCCGATGGCAGGCACAAAAATCGCGTTGCCGTGCAGTTCTACATCCACCCTCGTCCATGCGACAATCAAGGCTGGAGTTCTAGGAAGAGCGGCCTCGGATGATTTAGATTAGATTAGAGGGCTTTCTGCTTTAGACCGACTTGCGCAGCAGTAGGCATAAGTCCCTGAGAAGTGCTGACGCAAGCCGGTGAAGCCAAGCCGAAGCCGGACCATTTATTCATTCTGTGTGTAAATGAATGAAGCCCGAGACCCCTTCTCCTTAATTCCCACGTAAGCCCTACGTCCAAATAGCCGAGGCCGAAACCTGAATGCAAACCTTTGCCGCCTCAAGAAAGTTCGGGTATACCTTAATTCCTGTTGCCAGTAGCCTTGAATCTAATTTTGAAGTAAGGCAGTAATTCCTGGTAGGTATTATTAATGTGCACGCAGACTGCGCTGGCTGACGGACGATGGCAGCCGGGAGCTGCAGGGAATGTAGTAAAAACCCTAAAACCCTGAACCCCAAGCCGTGAAGTAACAACGGTCCCTAACCCTGAACAACCCTCATCCTGGGGTGTACTATAGGGGATTAAATATTACGAATACTATCTTAGAATCTTCGTGGTTCTTCTGTTATAAGCAGAGTATAAACCCTATGCTGTTTATGAAGGCCCCTACATTAGGGGTTGAGGGCGGGGGTTCAACAGCTAGGGTTGGGGGGTTGGGTTTGGCGTAACCTGTATAGGCTTCAGGAAGGGGCGTTTTGGAGAGCGAGCTGCTGGAGCAGCTCAGCCAACGATTTATTAGTAATTAGTATGGGTTTAGGGTTTAGGGTTTTGTTGATGCAGTGAGATCCCGCATGTTGTCATGTGCAGCTGAAGCGGCAAAGTTGTGGCATGTGCTGTGTTTTATACTCACGGGAAGGCCATGGCTCTCGGCGCGCTCGCCGTGTTTCTGCTTTGGGGACGTGCGGCGTGGCGCCGGTCGCCCCCGCCCGTGTGGACACTTGTCGCGTCGGAGCTCCTGGGCTGCTTGGAAGCGGGGGGCGAGCGCGAGTTGGAAGCACTTGCGGCGGAGGTAGGCCAAACACCGACGGAGCTCTTGGGCAAGGTCCTGCGCGAAGCAACCCTGCCACACGCGTCGCAACTCCCCTCGCCTCCCCTCACAAGCGGAAGCCCGCTCCCGCAGCGCACGCCAATTTGCCCCCGTCACGCTGTCGACGTCCACGCTGACCGCCACGGCCAGCACCAGACGCCGCCGACAACGCGAACTGCCAACCACGCCGCCCCGAGCGACGTAGGCCACACAGACTCGTTACCTTGCCTGCCGAAGCTTTACTTGCCGCAGCCGTTTTGGTCCTGCCCTAGAGTTTCCGTGGCCCCAATGGCTGCAGCATCTGGCCCGGTGGACTGTCGCATCTGCGGCAGACGGCCAGCAACGGACATGGACCGCGCGGCCCGTGCGACGCCGTGGCACGCCTGCAAGGGATGGTGCACGGCAACGAGCTGCAACCCTGGATGGTGGAGAAAGTCTCTTCCATGCTCCACGGGGCGGCGGGCGGGCTCCACGCCTTGGTCTACGGCCCGCCTCGCCGCCGCAGCCCATCGCGAGCGAGGAGCCGCAGCCGGAGCCGCAGCCCCATCTCGGAGGACTTCGGCAAGGGCGAAGCGGGCAAAGGCAAGCGCAAGGACAAGGGCAAGGGCAAGGGCACAGGTCACGGCAAAGGCAAACCCAAGGGACATCCACCCCGCCAAAGAGATTTGGTCCGCGAGATCGCCACAGCCGCAGCTGAAGCTGCAGCCCGGGCAACGCAGGGCCACTTGTGAGACGGGGCGCTGCATCCCAGCCAGCATTGGAGATACCTCCACGATATCTTAATCTGGCGACTCCGACCGGAGCCGCTGATTTGAGCCTTTGCGAGCGAACCGGGTGCGGAAAAGAACGGCTGCTGCAGGTTGCGTGTTTGCATGCATGGTCAGCGGGAGGGAGCTCGGACGTGCGAGCGCGACCACACCGCCGCGACCGCATCAGGCGACCTGCAAGCCCCCTGCCTTCGCCGCAGCGCCGCCCCGCACGCCATCTGCTCCAGCCGCACCCCACGCTGGGCCGACGCATCGGCGAGGCCACCAACCCAGGCCTTCCCACACGCGGGGACCACGCGCACGACGACGTGTCACGGCGACGCAGCAGAGCCTTGCACGCGCTCGCGCAAATGCGACTCCTGCCCGAACCTGCCGCTCCCGATTCGGGGGCGGAAACGCTGTCTGACACGCTGAGCGCGCACACCGCGATAGCCTCGCCCAGGCGCTCGCTCAGCCCCGCACGTGCGGAACCGAACCTAGTGGGAGAAGCCGCTCCGACCGCGTGGGAAGCCACACCGGGTTTCACGCCACCGGGCTCCCCAGGACCGCCCGCCGCCCCCGCACCTGGATGGCTCGACGCCCCCCCGCCCGCTGCCGAACCAAGCGAGCGCAACTCTTGGCTGTTCGTGCCGCTGCTCCATGCGGGAGCCGGGTTCCTGACCGACACTGCGCGACGAGCGTGGAGAGCCGCAGGAGCGGTAGGCTCCCGGTTCGAGGTTCGAGGAGCTCGCCGCGGCCCTAGCGGGGGCACCGCCCCAGCAACCAGCAGTGTTGCTCCACGCGCTATACGGACACTCGTCGACTGCGACACAGGTGGGGAGCTCCGTTCTCGTCATCCGCTCGAGGCCGAGCTGGACCGCGAACTCCAGGCACTACCAGCAGCCCCACTGCCCCTGCCAGCTGCCGTGTCGCTTAGCATGGGCCGAGATGGCTACATCCCGGCACGGACGCAATCAGCATTGCTCCAAACGTTCTGCGGCCTGGCCGTCGCAACTGCAGCCCAGTCCATGGCTGACGATGTCCGAGGCTCCATGCGCCGACCAGCTCCCCAACCGGTACCCCAGCACGCCACGGCTCCACGCCCTCGCGACGCAAGCGTGGGAGGAACGTTCTAGCAGCCGTGGCAGCGGAACAGGCGCAGAGCCGGAGACGCCGTGGGGGCAGGGGGCGAGGTAATCGAGGCGGCCGCCGCGGCCGTGGCGACGAGGCCCACGCCCGGCAAGCCGACGACGACAGCGTCGAGGACGCCGGCCAGTTGCCGACGCAACCAGCCCCGGCGAGTCGCGCGGTCCCGTCGAGCACTCACCTTGAAAGCCTGCAAGCCCTCGACCTCGCGGCCGAGCTGCGCCAGCGCGTGCACACACTCCAATCCCCCCCCAGGCAGCTCAGAGGCCTGCTGCGTCACGCTTTCCGCGTCGGCTTGGAGACCATCCGCGACGCGCCGACGCCAGAGCAAGCGAGCGTGGGCTGGAAGCTGTTCTTGCTGGCGCCCCGCATGCTTCTCTATCGCGCGCCTGGCGCAACCCGCGTGGCCTCGCACGAGCTACGACGACGCGAAGCGCTCTTCCTGGCCGGGAAGTGGCTCGACCTGCTCAACGAGGCCGCCGCGGCGCCACGGCCGAAACCCCAGGAGCGGAGCCGCCCGGCGAGCGCGCTAGGCAATCCCCCCAACGAGGAGGACGACCTGCGCTGCCGCGGCCCTAGCCCACCTCGGTGAGCTTTCAGCAGCCGCCCAGGCGCTCACCGCGCTCCCCTTAGCGCCCACGACCCACGACACGCTGGCCGCGCTCCACGACCCGTCACGACGTCCGCAAGAACCCCACATCCCGGTTGAGCCGCGAATCCGGACCCACCCTGCGGCCCCCGTCGACGACGCTCCTGACCAACGTACGCCGAGCACGTAAGGGCGCTGCCCCCGGCCCGTCCGGCTGCACCAGCGAGCACTTGCGCGTGCTTCTGGACGACGAAGACTGCACGCAGCTGCTAGCCCACGCCGCGAGCATGATGGCTCGCGCCGAGGTGCCCGCGACGATCATCCCTGCGGTCCGGCTCGGACGCATGGTGGCGCTCACCAAACCGTCAAGCGGTGTGCGAGCTCTGGTCATGGGGGATGCGTTTCGGCGCGTGGTGGCACGCACGCTCGCGCAGCAGCTCCATGAACAGTTCCAGCATGCATGTGCCCCGTTCCAGTACGCCCTCAGCACCAAAGCAGGCGCGGAGGCCCTGGTGCGGGCAATACGCGCGGCCACCGAGAGTGACCCGCGGACCACCGTGCTGAGCGTCGACGGGGTGGGCGCCCATGACCACATTTCCCGACAGAGCATGCTGTCAGCGTTAGCGGACCGACCCGAGCTGGCCGGCCTCACACCCTTCGCTGCTCTCTTCTACGGCACGCCGAGCACGTACGTCTTCTACGACCAAGAAGGCGGAGCGCACGACGTGCAACAAGGCGAAGGAGGCGCTGATGCCGTATGATGCCGTCACTGTTCGCTTTGTGCCAACACCAAGCCCTAGTTGAGGCCCGGGCCCGCCTGCACCCGGCCAACACGCTTTATGCGTTCCTAGACGACATATACGTCACAGGGCCCCCCGAGCACACAGCAGGCCAGTTCGCCATCGTACGGGAGGCTCTCGCGAGGCATGCCAACATCCAGGTGCATCTGGGCAAAACCCGCGCGTGGAACAGCGCGGGGGAGGAGCCTCCCGGACTACTCGAGGAGCTTCCCCCGGAGGACCCCGAGCACCCCTGCTGGACAGGGAATTGGGCCATCCCTGCAGCCCAACAAGGCGTGGTGGTCCTGGGTAGCCCTATCGGAAGCCGCGAGTTCATCGCCTCGAAGCTTGCACAGCGCTTGGAGGAGCAGGACCGCTTGCTTAGTCGGATCCCACGCGTGCCCGACCTGCAGTCGGCGTGGTTACTCCTCCTGTACTGCGCGGCTCCCCGCAGCACTTACCTGCTGCGCACGCTGCCGCCGGCCGACACCGCTGACTTCGCGGCTTCCCACGATGCCGCCATTCGACACTGCCTGGCTCAAATGCTGGCGGGTGGCGATGGCGACATGCCGCTGCCCGAGCTCAGCCACCAACGCGCCCAATTCCCCTTGCACATGGGAGGACTGGGATGGGGGTCCGCCGACCGGCAACGCCACGCCGCTTACTGGAGCTCTTGGGCAGACACTGTCCGAGCGTTGCGGCAGCACCAACCGGGCGTTTTGGCCAACCTCCTCCGCCCACTGCTGGACGTGACGGCCAGCGGAACCCCCCCCAGCACGCGAGCAGCGGAACAGGCCGCCCGCGTCCTGCGCTTGGGCGGCTTCCCCGCGCCCACCTGGGCACAACTGCTGGAGGAGGATGGCGCCGCCCCCGCCGGCCTCACCACCCGCCCTGCCCCAGGACAAAGACCGGGATGGCAGCGAACGGCAATCAAAGCCCTGCACAAGCGCGCGCTCGAGACGCTTTTCACTGAGCTTGACCCTGCGTCCCGAGCGCTGCTGCTGTCGCAAGGTGGCGATGCCGCGAGCTGTGCTTTCACGGCTTTCCCTACCAGCGCCGACACCCGAGTACCGGACGCGGAGTTCCGAGTGATGCTGCTCCGCAGACTCCGCCTGCCCCTCCCGCTCGCCCCGAAACGCTGCGCTTGCGGGGGACTCCTGGACGCATACGGCGACCACCGGTCAGCCTGCGCACACGTGGGTGTCCTGGCGCGACGAGCTGGCCCCTTGGAGCGGGCAGCGGCTCGCATCTGCAGGGAGGCTGGTGCCCGCGTCGCAACGCACGTCGCCCTCAGAGACCTCAACCTCGACGTGCCCGCGAGCGACGGACGCTGCATCGAGGTGGTCGCCAACGGCCTCCACCTATGGCAGGGCGCCCAAGTCGCCGTTGACGCAACCCTTGTATAAGCCTGGTCCGCCGGGATGGCCAGCCCCGCCCGCGGGCTGACCAGCAACCGGGCCTCGCCTTGGCACAAGCAGTCGACCGCAAACGCCGGACTTATACCCTGAAATTGAGACAAGCCTGGCGCTGCCGACTGGTCGTGTTCGGCGTCGAGGTCGGAGGGTGCATCAGCCCGAGCACGCAGCACGCTCACCTTCTTGCGACTGCTCGCGAAGGCGCGGGCCGGCCAAAGGGCGCCGTGGTGTGCGGTCGGAGCGCAGCGAGCCATGACGCACCGCTGGACGGCGCTTGCATCGTTCGCCGCCCTACGCGCGCATGCGTGCTCATTGCTCGAGCTACCCATCGCGGGGCCTGGTGACCCAACGGACGGCCTGGAACCCCCACTCGGGGAGCTCCTGGTGGGCCACCAGCCCCCGGCGCGCAGTCGACTCTGAGCGCGCAACGCGGGGTGCAGACGGCCCCGCACACAGTAGGCTGACTCGGGACTTTCTTCGCTGTCGTAAGAAGGCGCGCAAAAAAAATTGCAGAGCTTGAGCAAGCACGGCGAGTTCAACCGGAGCAGGCGCGCCCGCTACTGGGAGACTTGGCCTTTGGACCACTGGGACCTCGTGATCCATGGGAGCGGGCTGAATTGAGAGGTGTTAGACGTGAAGGGGATGTTCCCGATGCAGTATATCAGTTTCCTACAGTACCACAAGGAATGTATGGCTCAGTACCTCAAGCCCCTGTCCTACTTCCTAGTATCCCCCCTGTCTTAATAAATGCAGGATAGGGGGGGGTACATAAATGCAGGAAGGTGTTTTCTACATTATCAGGTCTGGGGGTTGGGCAGGGGGGGTCAAGGGGTTTAGGGTATTGGAGCAGAAAGCCATGACAAGCCATGCAGGGTCCGGCGGGTGGGGGTTCGGTTGGAATTTGGGCAGACGCATGCAAGAGGCAAAGGGTACAGCAGAGAGAGTGAGAGAGAAAGAGAGAGAGAGAGAGAGAGAGAGAGAGAGAAAGAAACAGAGAGCGAGAGAGAGAGAGAGAGAGAGAGTGCCATTCAGCAGTGGATGTGATCGCTCCTGGCTGCCACACTCGCTGTTGCTCCAGGGGCAAGTGGCCCAACATGTATGCGCGCTCGGTGTCGATGCCAGACAAAGCGTGACAGCGCAGCTGAATGGCACCTACTTTGCACACCCATGCACACCCCACACTCGTAGCAGCCGTAGCCGTAGCAGCACCTAGCAGCGCACCCCAGCAGGGCCGGGGGGGGGAACGGGTTCCGAGATGGTAGGTCTGCAAGAATTCTGAACCCACCAGAAGTAGGGTTTCGGGGTTTAGGGTTTAGCGTTGAGGAGTTTAGGGTTCAGGGTGTAGGGTTTCGGGCTTTAGGGTTGAGGAGTTTAGGGTTCAGGGTGTAGGGTTTGGGGCTTTAGGGTTTAGGGTTGAGGAGTTTAGGGTTCAGGGTGTAGGGTTTGGGGCTTTAGGGTTTAGGGTTGAGGAGTTTAGGGTTCAGGGTGTAGGGTTTCGGGCCTTAGGGTTTAGCGTTGAGGAGTTTAGGGTTCAGGGTGTAGGGTTCCGGGGTTTAGGGTTTAGCGTTGAGGAGTGTAGGGTTCAGGGTGTAGGGTTTCGGGGTTTAGGGTTTAGGGTTGAGGAGTTTAGGGTTCAGGGTGTAGGGTTTCGGGCTTTAGGGTTTAGGGTTGAGGAGTTTAGGGTTCAGGGTGTAGGGTTTCGGGCCTTAGGGTTTAGGGTTGAGGAGTTTAGGGTTCAGTATTCGGGTTTATAAGGTTGAGGACGAGCGTAAGCAACCCCGCCAGAGACGAGCATCATGAGCATCAGCCGGGCCTGGGCTGGAATAGAAAATCCTACATTTACAGATCACATGGCCCGAGGGGTGTGGAAAATGTAGTCTGCATTTTCCTCCCCCCCATGGTTAAGTCAGGGGGGATTTCCTAGTGCAACCGAATCTGTTCGACAGCCAGCTACACTACCACCGATCCTACAAGAGCGAGTGCCCTAACCTCCTACAGTACCTCAGGGAGTTCCTGGTCCTTTACCGCAAGGCCTGGAACCACAACCTCCGCAGCAGCAGCGCGGCGATCACCGACTACCACAAGGCGATGGTCAGGCTGCACCACAGGTCAGACGGGATTTGCTTGGGGACCTAAGACCTCCACCTCTACGGGAAGAACAAAGGAGTGGCCGTGGGTTTCTTCGTACGCTGTTGGGACCGAGAGCTAGATCCCCCTCACCTGGTGATCGTCGTGATAGTCCGGAGTCCTCTGTACTTCAAGCGTTAACTCAAGGTGTTCGTCAGCTACATGAGTTACAAGCACAGGCTATGAGCAGGGCAACGACGGCCTCCACGGCGGAGGTGGTGAAGTCAAGCACTACCGCTCTGCCTGCTCTACCCGCGGTGAGTGATCCTGCGGAGGCGGCCTTGGCGTTTCAGGACTGGGTGGAGGTTTCGTCTTCGGCTATGGGAGATATCAGCGAGAGGTCTGGAAACTGGTGGTCTTCAGTACTTCAGGTTGTTGAGAAGACATATTCTGAGTGGCTTGCGGCCACCCCTTTGGAGAGACTTGGAGTTGCGCCACCTACAAGTCATGGCCTCTGCACTGGTGGCTGGGCGAGACTGAACGCCCGGGCGGCATCAATGCTATTGTCTGCAATGGGGGACGAAGTGAAGAATGAGATGGTCGCCCTGAGGGTTACTCAGGACAGCGTGAGAATAATGTTCCGCTTGTATGTCCGCTTTCAACCTGGAGGAGCTGCCGAGCGACATGATGTACTACGACGTTTACAGGCTCCTGGTGAGTACATGGGCGGCGAGGGACTGGAGCATGTTCTCAAAGCCTTAAGGTCTTGGCCCCGATGGCTGTCACGGTGTAAGGCGGTGAGGATGGAGCCGCCAGATCCAACGGTTCTGGCGAAAGGACTGTTGGTGATGACGGACAAGTATATAAAGTATATCACCGCTTCGGCCGATGCTTCTTTCAGAACGGCTATGCTGCGGACCTCACTGAGGCTGGACGCCCAGCCAAGTTTGGAGTCTGTTCAAACCTACCAGAAGCACTTGCAGGCCGAAATAGAAGTGATCGCAGCAGGGACCAGGGCATCGGCGACTACGGCGGTACCAAAGATGCGGGCTGTTGACCCGACTGGAAGCGCGAGCCCTACCAGGCAGAAGGATAGATCCTCGGAGTTATGCCGCTACTTCGCCAAGCCCCAAGGATGTAAAAGGGGGGAGAAATGCAGCTTCAGTCATTCAATGGCGTCCTTCGATCGGGAAACCAAGGCGAGGGTGTCTTAAGTGCGGCGGTGAATCTCACCGCCAGAAGGACTTCGTCGTGGGGAAGCCAGGAGCACGTCCATCACAAGGCGGGGCAGCGGGGAAAGACAAAACTGGCACAGCTTCGCAGAGCTCAACGATGGCCCCCTTGTCTTTGCCTCTGTCCTCTACGGCGCCGTCTACGGCATCCACGACAATCTCCGGGACTCCCTGGACTTTTGAAGCGCTAGTGCAAGCGGCGCAGCAGGTTGTCCAGTCGCAAGGGCTAAGTGATGGAGGAAGCTCACCCGAAAAGACGGCGAGCGCTCAGCGGAAGACGGTGAAGATCAGTTACATCCATGTGTGCTCCACGGGAAGATCGGCAGCTGCCCTGCTGGACTCTGGGGCAACTCACTGCTTGAGGAGTGCTTATGATCGAGACGAATGGCAGCAGTCTGAAGAAATCCTGGTGGAGCTGGCGGGTGGAAGCAATTTGGTCATGCGAATGAGTTCTACGGGAACCCTGCTTATGCCTCCGAGATCAACTACGACCTCGGCAACCACTACGGCGACGGCGGCTCAGACTATCGTCCCAGTGGGACAGTTGGTTAAAGTGCTCGGGTACACGTTGGTGTGGGGACCCGGAAAGTGCTACCTCGTGAACGATGAAGGCGACAGAATGCCGCTTTCTACTTCGCATGTCCACAGCTGTGTGAGGCAGAAGCGTTGTCTTTGATAGCGCGAATCGAGGACCGCAAGCGGGAGACCTTGGAGAACCTAGTCGAGGACACCAAGGACCGGGTTTCAGTCGCAGCTCAGAGAATGAGTCGAGGATGGCAGGATCACCTGCTGGAGTACGTTGAGACGGGGTCTATGTTGGCTGGTGGGAGAGCTCTGAGGGACGCTGCTTTCTTACAAGGACTTCCTGCGGAATGCTTGGAGGGCCTGGTCCAGGAGAACATCACCCCTGGAAGCTGGAGTATCATGAAGTCAGTGGGCTTTCTGACGAGGGCAGAGGCGTCACCTTTGGGGAGCTCGTCGGTGGGTTGTTCATGTGTTCGCGGGGAACCCAGGACATTATCAGGTGATAGAGCTGGACTTGGAGCGCTGCAGAGCGCATGATCTCAACTCTCTCTTTGTGGAGCACTGACTGGAAAGATAGATGCACTGGTGGGAGCTCCACCTGGACACGGGGGACTATGTGGAGGAGAAAAGGACGTAAAGGTTCTACGGCTGGTTACGAGGATGTTGTACCTTTACGCAGTCGCAAGGGCAGCGAGGAGACGGAGAACTATGCGATGGAACAAGGATCGACCCGTCGCCTTTATGCTGGAGCATCCTTCGGCGACCACGCTAACTACGAGGACGGGACTGGACAGCACATCGATGTGGCGAGAGTTTAGGGCCGAGATGGACATTGACGAGGTGACCTTTGACCAAGCGGCTACTGGGGCACCAATGAGCAGTCCCACTACATTGGGAACAAACATCTACTACCTAAAGGGGCTCAGCGATTTGGGAATGGACGCGGGAGAGGAGGCGATCCCTACTACAAGGCGCGAAGGTGTGACATCGTCTACAGCGTGTAGAGGTGCGACATCTACTACAACGGGTGAAGGTGCGACATCTACTACAGCGTGTGAAGGGGCGACATCTACTACAGCGCGTGAAGGAGCGACATCTACTACCTCTACTGCGGGAGCCCAGTCGAAAAGCTCTAGACCAACCGCTACATGGTCACCTGGCTTGGTGGACGCAGTTGTTATGGCACTTAGGTTCTGGGAGAAAGGGCCGTGTGAAGTACCCTCGCTGATGGCTATGACGGCGAGCCAATGGAAGGAGCACGTGGCCTCAGGACATGCTTGTTATCGCAGAGATTGCCTTGCGTGTGTTATGGCACGGGGAATCGGCAAAAGACATGCAAGGGTCCTGATTCGTTCTCACTTACAGTTGATGTAGCTGGTCCGGTGAAGCAGGGCGTGGACTGCACCTCTAAGGGAACAATGGGAAAGGGTCTGAGATACATGCTGGTTGCCCGATACACTATGCCGCGGGAGTATGTGAAGGGCTTCACGGGAAAGGACCCACCGGGTGGTGATGGCCTTCAGGTTGAGATGAGCTATGAGAACCCGGGGAAGCAGGTCCAGGAGGAGGTCAATGACAAGGAACTTGCAGAACCTTCTCTACCACAACCACACCGAGGGGATCCAGAAGACGATAGTGATAGAGTTAAAAATGACGAGGAACTTGCAGAACCTTCTCTACCACAACCGCACGAAGAGGGTGATCCGTTTAATGTAGATGGCGATGAGTCGGGTGAGCAGGGTCCACATGAAGTCCTAGGCGATGAGTCGGGTGAGCAGGGGTCCATCATTCAGATTGAGGAGAAGTTTGCTGGATCTTCAACAAGGCAGCGTGTTCGTCTTGAGGACTATGAGACTATGAGGACTCCCTTTACGAGCCTTCCGAAATAGATGGAGATCCAGAGCAATTACCCCAGGAGGAGACTGGCGAACCTGGTCTGATTCAGGATTGCGACGAGCCAGCAACTACATGCCTACTGTTTGAGGGGTATGAAGGACAACCTTTCGACAACAGTCAAGGGAGTGATCCAGGACATTGTTTTGTACCTTGAAAGCCTTGGCCTACCAGTTTACCGCTTGCACTCAGACAAGGGCGAGACCTTCAACCACAGCACTAGATCATGGCTACGAGACAGGAGGATCCGGGCAACTTGGTCAGAGCCGGGAGTACCTCAAGGACTTGGACAAGCGGAGGCTACTGTCCGATGGGTCAAAGATCGAGCACAGACCCTACTGTTGGGATCGAGGTTGCCAACGAGGCTGTGGGCTTTGGCAGTGGAGTCGGCTACGGCAATGCAAAGGTGCAAAGTACTTGGATGGAAGTCAAGGTTGATGGCTCCCTTTGGGGCAACTGTTCACATAAAGCAGAAACCCTTTGATTCCTCAGGTCCGAGAAGAGGGATAGAGCATCTGAGACGAAGTGGATCAAAGGTACCTATGTTGGGCTTAGCTCAATCTTGGATGGAGGCCATGTGGTATATGTGCCGCGCGGAACCGACGATGACAAGGAGAAGTTTCTCCACACTTTTCATGTGAGACCCAGACTCTTTGACCCAGGTGTACCACAAGATGAACTACAACTTGAGGACCCACCACGACCAAGGCGGAGAGTGATGGAGAAGCGGTCACCGGAGCATGTTGAAATGAAGGCTACCGACTTGAGCGACTGTGACGTGTTTGAGTATGTCAGGCGGAAGTCGGAGCTGCTGGATGTGGACTTCTTTCAGGACCGCAAGTTCGGGATCTTCAGACATGGTGACATGGTGGTTCTGTGGGATGGCTAACGGGATCTGAAGAGTTTCCAGATTTCGCGAGGGTGCTTGGAAAAATCATTCTGGAAGCCGAGCCGGAGGCCACCTTCACCTCAATATGGGTTACAAGGGATTCAATGAAGGGCTACCACAAGGATACCAACAATGACGCCGACCCCCTGAACTACGCACTTCCCCTACAACTTCCAGAGCGAGGAGGAGAACTTTTGCTTGAGCTAAGTCCAGGTGATGTGCTAAAGGGTGAGGTCGTCGAGAGATGGGATGCCCGAGGCCGTGGACATTATGGTCAAGTTATACCACTGAGGAAAGGAGAGTGCAACGTGTTCAATCCTAGGTGTGGTCATGAAGCTCTTCAATGGAAGGGAACGAGATCAATGATCATTGCCTATACGCCTCAATGTATGGGGAAGCTGGACTATGATGTTGTCAAGAAGTAGTATTTCGTTCCAGGACCTCCGGAGTTGAATGCAGTGACTACGGGCCAAGAACAATTACCAGAACGTAAAGAAAAGGAGGAGCCCGTGAATGTGGTCACTGGCATGTACGGGGATGATGAGTGGGAAATGTTCCTGGATGTTCCGGGGGGAAGAGTGAAGCTGGGTGATCAGCAGGAGCCAAAACCGCCATCTCAGGTACCACGAGCTTCGAAGGTGGAGGTTGGATATACTCGAGATATTGAGCGTGTACTTGCTGATCTACGAAGCCCTCTCAAGGTGATCCACAACGTTGACCCCCGTGAGGTGCAGCAAAACATAGAATGCTGGCGTGAAGCAATTGCGCGGGAAGTGAAGAATGTGGAGGTTGCCATACTGAGGTTGGTTCCAGGGTCTTCGGAAAGGGCTACTTGGATTCGAAAACCCCGGATTCAGCGCCTACCTGCAAAGCTGGTGTTCACGGTGAAGCCAGGTGATGCACCAGTGGAGGAGGACAGAACAACGTGGTTTAAGCGCAAAGCGCGCTTAGTAGTCTGTGGGAACTTTGCCCGACCGGGGATGATGGGCGTCGAGGCAATGCTCTATGATATAAAGATCGGGCCCCTCAAGAAGACCATAGCGAGCGATAGCACAAGTGCGCTGTGTATCAGCAGTGGGACCGGGTCGTGGCGTACGAGACACCTGCGATTGAAGGCGGGGTGGGTACAGGAAATGCTCCAGATGGGAGCCCTGGAAGTGCGTCATGAGCCAGGGGTTACACAGCCTGCGGATATGCTCACGAAGGCGCTGGCATCACAGAGGCTGAAGGCGCTAATGAGTCTTTGGGGTATGGAGGAGAAGTCGAATATGCAGAGGGCTTCTATGTGCATGTCGGTGCCAAGGCCATCAACAAAAGTGATCATGGCATTGGTGTGCTGTATGCTGATGCTGACCGTAGAAGCAAGCGAGCCTCTGTCGGTTCCTGTGCAGGTTGATGGTGACCTTCTGGGAATTTCGATGCTACTCCTGATGGTGTTGGGAGGTTTAGTCATTTGGGAGGGACTGAAGTGGCTGGTTGCAGAGCTTTCTCAAGAGTGGCTACCTGGCGCGTCGCAGCGCAAACTGAGGAAGCTTCGCAAGTTGAGGGACGCTACAACGTTGGCTATTGAGAGAGAGCTGGAGCGCCTGAGCTCTCCGCGTCGGAAGCGAGTGCGGGGCAGCCCCCCGCAGCAACTACGAGCACGCCTACGAGTCCGGGAAGACTGCCAACTTCACAGCCTTCCACTATGCGATCTACGGCCTCACCGAGAACGCCGCCAACGAGATCTCAAGAACTCCCTGAAGATCCAGGGAAACAGCTGAGGTTTTCTCCTACACCAAGTCACGGAAGTGATGATGCCGGTGAAGTTCTACGAGTTTGTGTTGATCTGGCTGGGCTGATGAGATGCGAAGAGCTACGGGAAGCCCTACGAGCCAATGGGCTTCAGACCTCAGGCCTGAAGGGTGACATGTCAGCCAGACTTGAGGGAGCTATGGCATCTACATATGGCAGAGCGAATCTGCCGACAGTAAGGCAGTACAAGTATCTTCTGTGGCTATGGCGTCACAGGAGGTTGCAGGGCCGGACTTTGATCTCATGGAGCAACATAGCAGATCGCCAGGCCGCATCCAGGACCATCAACAATTGGGATCATCTGTAAAGTATGCTGTGTACCCCTCTCGGAGACACAGAGGAGGAGTGTTGATGCAGTGAGATCCCGCATGTTGTCATGTGCAGCTGGAGCGGCAAAGTTGTGGCATGTGCTGTGTTTTATACTCAAGGGAAGGCCACGGAAAACGAAAGCCCTTGGGTCAAGACCTTTACAACAGTAACAGCCGGCAAGTGCTGTTCGAAGGATACAGTTGCATTGCACTTTGTACACATAAGCAGTGCACAGACTTCGGATGTTCGTTGAGCGTTGTGAAAAGACAGCTGTGCGCGGAATCATGGCGACTTCAAATTCGATCGATGCCAATAGGCATCAGCAGGTTTAGTTTAGTAAGGGTATAGGGGTATCCTATAATAATCATCCCGATTCCGCGCTGCGAGTGGCCGAGCGCCGCAAGCACGCCGCGTACCCGGAACTTACGCGCGGCGGGCCGCAGACGCTCGTCGTGCTAGGCTCCGAGGTTGGCGGCCGCTGGAATGCCCAGGCCCGCAGCTTTGTGCGAGACCTGGTGCGTTTGAAGGCGTCCCAGCCGTACACGCGGCTGCCACCGCGAAATGGGCCAGGCGTTGGTGGAGCCTGCTCTCAGTTGCGGTGCAGCAGGCAGTCGCCAGTACGGCCGTTTGGCTGCAACCGCTGCCCCTGAGTGCCAGAGCCGCTTGCCCCTGCGGTCCTAGCGAAGGTCCGCGGCAAGCCCTGCGCCTCGGCCCAGTAGGTCCTAGGTGACAGAGGAACCAGAAGACTCCTTCCGGCCGGCGGAAAAAGGTGCGGAAAAAAAATTAGGAAAGAAGAATGCGCTAGAGTCTAGAGTTCCTTGGCCGATAATTATAGGTATTGCAATTCCTTTTGGTATTGAATTGGGATTGTTGGTGCCATTAGGTTTGTGGGAGTTGGGATTGACAACTTGATCGAAGCCAAGCAATGGCTTCAAGAAGGGCGCAGTCCTGGATGCTTCTCACATGGGGCTGCAGCGCCAGGTCTTGATCGACCTGATGGACATCCGGGGGCCAAATCAAGATTGGGATGATTCCGAATCCTGCCAATGTTAAGGTAACAGGAAATAATGGATCGGAAAATTTTTTCTTATTCTCTAAGAGTGTTATTTCCCTGCAGGAGCTGCGCGACCAGCACTCGCAATACAAGAAAATCAACAGCTGGTACCAGAAGAACTGGCCGTGGTGGCTGAAAGAATTGCCACCCTTCGACTTCCCGATCGACGCCCCGGAGACTCAGACCGCTTCGTCGCAGAAGCCAGCAGCTCAGAATCGCAAAGCGATGGCCGAGCTGCTCGACGAGCTGGAGGTGTCTTGACATGGAAGCATGTATTTCATTTGAGTTTGTTCTTTAGGGATAGGCTTTGGGGGTTTCGGTTAAGTACGGGGCTTTGACATCACCTTGAGGCGGCAAGCCGCCGGGTTCTCCGTGGACACACGCTGGTGAGCTGGTGGCAGGAGAAGGTGGGGGATTGGCTGCAGTGTCCTATCGCGGCCTACGAGACCCCTCCACGTGGGTGGCCGCGGGCCTCTTTACACTTTTCGGGGTGTGGAGAGGTGCCAAGCAACTCCAGATCCTTTTCTCGTTAATTAGGACGAGGCTTGTGGCATCGTCTGGTGATCGCCGAGTTGGGTTCTTCGGCGACATGGCTGGTCGATTCTACACGATGATCTTTAATCTCCTGCTGACCTCATTCAGCGGGACTCGGAAGGCATATGTGCTGCGCTTCATGGTGATGCTTGGGTTCAGCATCTTGGCATTGAGCGCATGCAGCGATTGCTTTCACAGCTTCCTCATCTTGCTTGCTTCTGCGGGTGAGGGCTTTGATCTTGGAGTTCGTGCTTTGACCCTGCTGTGGGTTAGGCAGGCTAAGCAAAAAAATCCAGTGCCAGCCACGGGCGTTGCTTTTGCGCAGCGCTTCGCACGGCGGCAGAAGATGTTCCGGAGAATGCGCCGGCGCGGGTTTCTCATGGTTGGCCCCTGGGGACCTGGACGTCCGGCATGCAAGGTATCTTCGAGATTCCTTTGCAAGCTTTGGCTTGCGTGGCAGCTCGCATTTGCTGCTGACTGGCGGGATGGCAGGCGATGGCGGTGGAGCCGCTGGCGGCGTCGCCTCTTTCGACGACGGCGGCTTCGCCTTGTGGGTTGCCGAGGCCTTCATCGACCCGAGGGCTGCCGTAGGCTTCTTGAAGTGTGCATGACTTTAAGGCGACGGTTCAGCGCATACGGGTTCCTGGGAAGCTCGGCACCAAGCTGTCTACCCGGTCGGCTATCGTGCTGGGCTTTGGCGAGGATGCTCCGCAGCTTCGCACTAGGAAAGCTGCAGTCATCAAGTTGCCTGGTGCTCGCAACGGCAGCTGGGTCCTTCGCGTGACGGCAGACTGGCGATACACTAAGGACTCTTGGGATGATCTTCTGAAGAAGCCCTGGGGCCCCCTACGGCGCTGGGTCTCCAGCCATCTTCCGGATGCCGATTGCATCGGGGACACGTGGTCATGGAAACAGGTGGGCCGCAATGCGGTTCAGGGCCTCATGAGGGTTTATGATTCGAATGCGGCCGCGGTGCTCCTGAATGCCTCTGGGTCACTCGAGGCGGCACGTGGTTTGTTGATCCAGTGGGTGAGTTGCCGGCGGGATACCAGGCAACAAAAATTTTGTGGTCGTCCTGGAAGGAGCCAGAAAACTGGGCGCAGTACTTGCAACGTGTCCGAGCCGAGGCCTCCAACGGCGTGGTGCTCGGCAATCGGGAACTGGGCCTTAGGCTTCGGGCCAATGATGCGCGCTATGTTCCTCCGGCGCGGGTGTGGACCATCTGCTGGCTACCTCGCCAAGCCACGCGGATGGATACCAATATCATCCTATCCGGTATGGGATTTGTCGAGATTGAGCTTGCAGCCAAAATCACTCGTCGGATCTCGTCGGCAGGGCTCTTCATGGAGTTTCCGTGCGAAACGGGAGGACGACCTTGAATTGGTTCAGGGCCTTTACGATGGCGGCGATGGCACTCAGGAGGTTCAGGCTTTGCTTGAGTCGAAGCGCAGGGGCCAAACACGTCCTGAGCATTTCCTTGGATCCGAAAGGCGCGTCAGTTATGGTACTGAGGGCTCGCGCCACAACCCGGCTGATGACAATGGCGGTGACCTGTGGAAGGACTGCTTTGATTGGGAGCCCGTTAACGAGGACCCTGAGTTAGATGGCATTGGGGACATGACTGATGCCCCCCCTGGCTCATGCATGGTCGTTTCCACTGGTGATGGCGCGGCTGCTGGCACGGAGGCCCAGACCGGCTCCACCGGAGTCAAGCGGCCACCTGAGGCCATGCCTAAGAAGGCGGCAGTGCCGAGAGTGCGTGCGCCGTGGCGCCCAACTGGGACCATAGTTCCCAATCAGGGTGGCGGTAACTGCTTGTACTACGCCATAGCTGAGGCTGAGCATGCGAGTGCAGGCAAAACCCGTAGTCACCGACAGCTTCGCGCATATGTCGTCTCCAAGCTGTGATGGGCCAGTCTCAGGAGTCGGATGCTTCGTATGATGCTTTTCTTGGTGAGGCTGCGATGGTCGGATCCTTTGCTGGGGCCCTAGAACTGCTCGCATTTTGCCGTAGCCGGAACTGTCGCGCCTGGGTGGGCGCACCGACTGGCGATGTGTGGCAATTCCATCCAGAGGGCGAGGATAACAGGCTTTTCCTTTGGTATACTGGCAAGCACTACGAGTACTACAAGGACGCGGTGGAGTCGGAGTGGGCTGCTAGGAAACGCAGCCAGGATGAGCAAGGTGGTTTGAAAGAGCAGCCACTGCGAGGTGGAGGTCGTAAGGGTGGCACTGCACCGTGGCACCCTGAGCGACTTTGCATCGTCGGCTTCAGCATGTAGCAAGAGAGCCACATCTAGGGCCCGTTCCAGCACCGGGCTTGCCACTATAGCTGCATCGCGTGCAGGTGAGCCGGCTAGTGCCGCGACAAATGTGGTTCCCTCGGAAGTCAGTCCAACGGCCGGTACTGGGTTGGCTGGCGGTTTCCAAGAATCCGAGCGTAAAGACCCGACGATCTTGGCCCAGTGCAGCTGACTTGCGCTCGCTTCGAGGTGGCGGTCGCACTCTTAGTCAGTTCGCTTCCTCGGCTGCGTCATCCAAGGGCAGACCTCGGGAGGCATCGGCTCGCGATTCGTTGAGTATATTTGCATCTACTCCCCGATCGGGGCCTCAAGGTGGGGCGCGCAGTTGTGGAGTGAGCTCAAAAGCGACTCAGAGGTCTGTTCAGGGGCCTCAGGGGAACCTCAGCGATCATGAGGTGGAGCCACCTCCTACGGATGCGGCCGAGGGCAGCCGAGTTCGATCCAAGTACCTTCATGGTCGCGTGTACAGGTGGCCTTGCCCGGAATGTCCTTATGTGGTTGAGGAGGCGAAGTTCCATGACATGGATCGAAAACGAAGTCGACACTGCACTAGGCATCATGCAGGCAGAGGCCTGCCGGGCCCCCGCAGGGCTAGGCCTGACCTGTTTAGGGATCTCGCGGAGGGGGAAGAGGCTGCCTGGCGTTGTCCTTTGTGCCAATGGGGCCTCCCGAAGGCTGATGCACACCTTGTGACTCAGGAGGCGGCGGCTGTGGCGCGCACGGCACATCGCGCGAAGAAACATCGCCATCTGACTCAGGAGCAGTATCGGTATCGGTGTAGGACTCACTCTCGCTTGCGGCCGACTTTCTTCATGCAGACACGGGTGCGCAAGTTGAACGCCGCGGTTGCTAGGCGTGGCACTGCGGGCATTGACGTCAACACGGAGTGGGACACTTTCCGATGGCCCGTCATCGGTGAGAAGGCTGCCAAAAAGGGGCGACCGAGCCGAAAGGTCCTGTCCGTACTCACGTCCTGGCGGTGCAAGGGCTGTGGCATGTGCACTCGCATCCCGACATATCGTGATCTACATACCAAGAATAAGAGATGTCCCAGTTGGGACGGCGAGCAGGCGCTCCGCGCACATCGGCGGCGCCTCGATCGGGCAGAGAGCGAGGCGGCTAACATTGACCATGCGCGGCGCGAGTGGCGTTGGGTGGGGAGTCAGAGCATTCCTGATCCATTTTTCCACGATGAATGTTAACCAGTCGGGCGTCACCAAGGTTGAGGCCATTAACGACTGGTGGAAGGAGTTTAGCTCAGACTTTTTGTGTTTGCAAGAAGTGGACATCAATGAGGCCAGTGGTCCGGGTTGGATTGCCAGCTGGAAATCTCGTGGTGTTCACGCGTTTTTGGAGGGCTTTGGGGACCGAGGTTCTCGTACAGCCATCTTGGCCAAGGCTCCGGGACGCGTCATCAAATTAGATGTGCGTGATGACTCTCGCTATACGGCGGTGATGTTCGAGTTTTTGCAGGGTGATGCCACCAAGAAGCTCATCCTTGTCAGCTTGTATAGTTATTATGGTGACCTTGAGGCTGCAGCGGCGTACATGGAGGAAATTGTCATGGCGCTGCAAACTCTTGGTGTGGAGTGGTTGATCTTGGGGAATCACAACATTTGTGCAGATGAACCTCCCCTTGCGTCGCGATTGGCGACGGGATTATTCCGGCTCCTTGACGATTCTTTTATGGCCAGTGTACAGCAGCTGCCGGGAACAGCCGGTGGCTCTCGATGGGTGGACTTTGGGATAGGAACTGGACGGCTTAGTCCGGAGACCCTGGATCATTACCCGGGCGTTGCCAATCATACCTCTGTTCGATATGGCTTTCGATTCTCGTTGCCGCGTGTGGTTTTGTGGGGCCGCGCAGAGCAGCTTTGCTTCTTGAGAAAGTGCAGCAGGTACAGTGGGATCAGTCGTGCAACCATGACCGGTTTCAAGCAGCGCTTGATCAGGATGATGTTGATTGCGCATGGGGCATTCTTTCAGATGCCGCGGAGCGCATTCTTCGCGAGGGCTCTTCTACGGGCTTGTCGAGGGCGGCCGCGTGGAATCCACGTAGAGCTGCTCTGCGTAGCAAAGCGGCTTCTTCATTTGAGTCGGCGTCTTTGGTGAGGTTGCGGCGCATGGGCAGGCGTGTCAATCAACTAGTGCACACCCCTCAGGACGGGCGTCTTCGTAACATCATTTCTCGGGACATGCAGGCCTTGGAGGGTGATTATAGGTGGCTCTCTGAGTTGGGAGTCTTCGACATGGAGGCTCGTGCTGAGTGGCTGGCGGACAAAATCACAGAGGAGGCCGATGCTGAGCGGCAGCGGGGCTTTGCCAAGTGGAGATCGTCCGTCCGCAACTCGCATCCTAAGCAGGTGAGCTGGATCAAGCGTCGGGCAGCGTTGAAGTCAGGCGCCGCTCAACCGGCTCCGGCGGATGGGGCTGTGCTTCAATATAAGGCCATCCACCCCGCATCCTTGATTGCTGAAGCTGAAACTGAGTGGGTTCAGCGATGGACCCGCGGGGACGTGGCCATCGATCCGCTTCGTGAGCTTCTTGAGGAACTTCCCCCGCCGAGGCAGGTCGACGTCAGACCTGTGTTTTATGCTGAATCGCTCCAACGGGCTGCCTCCAGAATGCGTGGCAAAGCGGGAGGTCCCGATAGTTGGGAAGTCTCTCATTTCGAGGCGCTCCCGGACCCGTTCTGGGCTGCGCTTGGTGCTCTATGGCAGAAGTGCTATGAGGCGGGAAAGGTTCCAGCCAGATGGAAAGAAGCGAGGGTCACCCTCATCGCCAAGCCGGATGGGGGCCATAGGCCCATTAGTGTCTTGAGCATTGCTTACCGCCTCGGGGCCGGGAATGGGCAGAATCATGGTTAGGACACCGCATGCTGGGAGGTGTTCACTCCAGGTCGACGCGAGACGTCTTCATCAGGATGATTGATGCGATGGAGGATCCTGACATGACCATCGTGGGGCAGGATGTCTCAAAGTTTTTCGACGCTGTGAATGGGGCACACCTACTGCTTGTCTTACGACATCTGCGTGCACCTGACCCATTCGTGGCCTTCGAGGCGGCTTTTCGCCGTAGGCAGTCAGCTAGGCGCCTCGTGGCACAACGCATCCAGGGGGTTGGCACAAGGGGATCCACTCTCCCCCCTTTTGGCGGCATCCATGATGTGGGTATGGGCGAGTGCTGTGGCTCGTACTGGGGCCGAGGCGGCCACATTCGTTGACGACAGATCGTTTTGGTGCACCACGCTTCAGGGTCTTCGAGCTGCGCTGCGATGCCAGGAAATGCCAGGTTGCCTCTCGGGCCCAGGTGGGCAGGCAAGCGGCTGAGACCTTCCGTTATGGGTTTGCTTCGTCCTTCACCACGTTGGGGGTGACCTTTGACTTTGCAGCGGCTTCTGCCCCGACGCTCGTCTCCCGCTATTCGTTTGAGCAGGCTGACCACAGGCTACAGTGCATCAGCATGATCGTCAAGAACCTCGACGTTAAGGCTCACCTCATTCGGACGTTGGTGATCCCTATGCTCATATGGTGTGGGGCGGTGGCGAGCCTGGAGCACGAAAAGGTGAAGCAGCTGAGGAGGGCCATTCTGGTTACCTCGCATGCTAATGTCGCGGTGGATGCGCCGCCGATTACCCTCTTCGAGGTGATGGGGTGGGGATGTGACCCTCAGTTTGCGCGCCACTGGAGTGCGTTGGTTGCCTTGATTAGCTATGTTGGGCGCCCTCCGATCTGGCTCGATGAGGCTCCAATGGCGCTGGCGGTTAAACCTTGGTTCCAGTTGCTCCCGTTGGCTGCTGAGGTCCTTCGTGAGCTTGGTTGGTGGACTGATGCGCGGGGATCCCGTATCTTCCGCCGAGATGCTCGTAGTGAGCTGCGCACCTTCGTGATTGCTTATGACTCGGTGAGTATCCTGTATGATTGGTTGCGAGACTGGCGCCGTCGCACCACGTTGGCTAATACTGGTCGAGTTGTTCGTGCTCTCCATCGGTCGGACCCGGTTCTTGGACGTGGGCGTGCCCTGCCTGGCGTACCTACCGGCTCCCTGGTGGTGCTGGCGGGCCACCGAAAACTCCAGGCCAGCGCGTCTACCCAGGCTCAGCGCTCTGCAGCCCTTGTTACCGGCCGTCCTTACTTCAGACTACAGTAATACAAATTACAATGCAACCCAAAACAACCAAAAACTCAAATACATTTGTTGATGCAAGAAAGGCTCGTTTCGGTGGCTCCACCGGGATAGGACACTGCATTTTCACTGATTTTCACTGTATGGCGACAGGGTGCATGACCCCTCGACGCCTCAAAGGCCGCTCACTAGAGCGAGTCAAAGTAAGCCGTGATGCCAGCGAGGGCACTCACGGCGGCGCTTTCCCATGCGGCAGCTGCCGAGCGTAGCGCATCACACACTTGCCGGGCACTTCCACGAAGCAGTTGAAGCGCCTTCGCACGCGCTGCCTGATCAGCTCTGTCATTGAGGGCCCTGGCGGTATGTTCACCGCACGGCGGAGCAATCCATCGAGCCGGAGTTGGCTTTCCATGACTAGGGATCCAATGAATCAGAACACGGAACCCGCGAGCAATGACTGCCCTTCGAAGGCGCACCACCTCATGAACCAACAAAGGGCAGCGCCCTTTCCCTTCTGTGGCAAGGACGGCTGCCTGGCAGTCGGCAACCAAGAGTAATGACCCAACTTGTCGAGTGGCGATGGCAGCACGCAACACGGCTAGGACTCAGCCCTGTACGGCGACTGATCCTCGCTGGCGACCCCCGAGACATGCACCCCACAGTTGTGGACCGCAGCAGCCCAAGCCGAGACCGTAGTCACCTCGCTGCCATCTACGCCGATGACCACTGTGTCATTGCTGTCCAGGACCTTGTCGATGTCATCCGCGAGTTCCTCAATCACGTCCGCGTAGCCTATGATGTGTGGTGGTGCTGGCACCTCTGGTACGACCTTGGCGAGTAGTCTCTCCTCGCATCTGTTGGTAGGTCTGGTAATGCTAGGTCTGAGGTGCTGTGTGCCCTTGCATTCCCACATCAGGTGGGGGCGACTCTGGACCTGAAGACCGCATTCACACACTGGCAACTGCTCAACCGTGGTGCCCCTCTTCCGAGCCTTGGACCACGCCGAGCATCCGGCGCTTGAAGCAGAGGCGATGATGTCTCATGAGGACCTGCGTGCTCAGAGTAGGCCGAAGCCGAAGGCGTCGCCGGCCAGCAGCGGCTCAAAGGGCCGGTAGCCGTCGTATATTTAATTTTAGTCGAAATTAGTTAGCATGCTCTCAACATAGAACCCCCGTGGCTTCCGGTGCTGGATGCTGGTGCTGGTGCTGGTAGCTGGTAGCTGGTGTTGGTTGCTGGTCAGGGGGCCATCTCTTAGAGGGGTGTTTTAGATCCTAGCCATCAATGTGAGGCATTATACAAGTGACATAAATAGCTGGTTATACCGGTGGCTCCCTGCGTAGGCCGGCTTGCATTTTGCCTGCGCAGCAGCCAGAAAGAGGCAGACCGATGCTGCACCATACAACGGCACTGGCATGTGCAGACTTTGACTGCGGGTAGGGCTAGGTCGTGAATTTGACTTGTCCGTGTTGCTCAGGTGCTTGCCTGGGCCGTATAAGCAACGTAGCTAGGGTGCCACATCTGATGCTAAGGATGCTATTTGATGTAGGGTTTGGGCACCCCAGTTCGGGCACACTCATCAAGTCTGGGCTTTGGGGTTTGTGGCCTGACTGATGGAAGTTAGGAAAACTACCCAAACCAAAACCTTGTAAACCCTAAACTTTCATCTGAACGCTGAACCCTTGAAGCCCTTAACCCTTTCATCCAGCCTGGCCTGGCCCAGTGCTCTGCATGTCATACTATGCCAAACCGCGTACTGTAGGGCTGAGGGTGTAGGATTTGTTATGATGTCCAAAGCAAGTTTAGTCTAGCCTCTTCTTTAGGGTCCACCCGATCGGCTTACAAAAACGCGGTTCTTTGGGAGCCTCGGAGAACGTAACTGGGGTTCCATATCTGATATTCTATACTAAGTTATGCTTGCAGGCTGTCAGTATAGACAGCCAACCCGTGGCTAGTATTAGATTAGGTCCTTTCTCCTGGTTCTCCTAGCGACGAAAGCAGGGACTGGGACGGATTGGAATTGGAGCATTTTGGTTACAAGTGTCCGGAATGAACGCATTGTTGCTGATGCACTCTGCTAGGCTGCTTGTATTGTTCGGAGTCAGCCAAGTAGATGCAGGGTTTTGGGTGTATTGGTGATCGCGTTGCACTGTGACATAAAAGTTTTAATTTTGGGTTAGGCCTTGGGTAAGGTCGCCGCTATCAGGTCGGCGTTCGTATTAAGTATACCGGTAGATGTGCCGGCTATACCCGAGGCTAGTGCTCTGTGGTTTGGTGTAGAACCCCGTCATTCAGTACAGAAAACATGGCCGTGCTCTGTGATTTGGTATAGAAACCCCCTCATTGCTTCAAGGCTTACAAGTCTAGGTTTGGGAGGTTGTGGCCTGACGGGTGGAAGTGAGGAAAACTACCCAAACCAAAACCTTGTAATGTAAACCCTAAACTTTCATCTCAACGCTGAACCCTGACGAAAGCTGAATATGTGTGCCTGAGCCCAAAGCACACCAACAAAGGGCCAAAGCCTGGCACCAGGTGACAATGTCCATGCAGGCTCGCTTCGTCCTGGTGATTGACAAGGGTTTGGGCACCCCGGTTCGGGCACACTGATGCAGGTGTCTGGCAGTAAAGAAAACATGGCCGTGCTTATTATTTATGTGACTAATGAAATTTGCATCGGACCGACAGATGGCAACTTGGGTCAAAGGAATGATCACGAGACACACACGTGAAGGTGACTTTGGCAGACGAAATCGTCGTTGGCGGGTAGTTGTAGTCGTTACTGCTCAGTAGACACTGGGATGGAGCTACGGCTTGAGGCTTGGCCTGAAACTCCTTTATCTGCACTCCCTTGCCTCCCGCTTCTCTTTACTTGCCAGTCAAGCACTTCCTGCACCGACTAAGCTTGCATTGGACGTGATAGCAAATCCTCCCCCTTGTACAGTAATACTGTAATTGATTGGCATCGTATTAGAGTTTTGCCCTTGATGTGACTAGCAGACCACTGCGAGCGAACCACAGGGTTCAGCAGCTTAGGTAGATGGGGTTAGGAGATCACTGCCTTTTCGGGCCGAAGTCCTAATAAAGATAACCGTTGGCCGGGTTTGCAGTTCAGGTTTTGGGTTGAGGGCTCGGGCTTGAAGCCTAGTGAGGAGCTTGGGGCTGCGTTTTTGGGGCCCTGGCCGGGGGTTTCTTATGTTGTCATTGTTGTTTGATCTTGGGTTCTTCATGTTGCTAGAAGGGACAAGGCTTGAGGGGATCCGGGCGGAGCCAACATGAGGCAGAGCAGGGCAGGGCAGAGCAGCCCAGACCATCGCAAGCCCGCGGACGGCCAGACGAGTTGCGTGTGTGACATTGGGCCAGTGGTTTTATCTCCAGTCCATCGCCAGGGCGCAGGCAGCACCCACAGCTCAGGCAGTTCACTACCGCCAGAAACCGAAGCCGTGGCAGGAAGAGCCTCATTGCCAGACTGTGGCAGCCTGGGACGATCGGCATGCAGCACTGTGGCATCGACCCCATCCCCATCGACGCACAGCCGAAAGCCACTTAACCCTGCGGAATGCTAAGCCAAGCCCAAACTCTGAAGCCAGAGCCGAACTTAGCCATGAGGCCTAAATCCCCGGCAAAACTTTCTACGCCCCGTAGGCGTTGACGCCATAATAAGCCCCGACACTCTTGGCCCTAAACCCCTTCACCCTAAACCCCTTAACCCTAAGCCTCTAGGCCCTTGCCCCTAAGGCCACATGCATGTTAATTTTACCGCTACGCCGCCCGCCTCGGCTGTGTAGCGGCAGGGCGAGGGGGCAGTCGATGTTTTTTTATGCTAGGGCGGCCTGTCAAACCCCAACCTTTACACGGTTGTTGATACGAAGTGCGAGGAGAATGGGTAGGGGAGGGGGGGGGGGGGGGGGGGGGGGGGGGGGGGGGGGGGGGGGGGGGGGGGGGGGGGGGGGGGGGGAGGGGTGTGCCGATACACCCACAAGGAAATGCTCCTTGTTAGGAGGTGTATGACCAGTTTATTCCCTAAGGATCAAAGGGCAGCGCCCTGCACACGGACAGTAGTTGTTTTGTCTTGCTACGCAAGGAGAGCTTGTCTTGTCTCAATATGGTAAAACCACTGTGAGCCAATGGGCAGAGGAATGTATATGTATGAGCATGCAGCCATTGCTGTAGGTACCTGTTAGAGCTACCCCTTTAGAGGTTTACGCAAACAAACAGACACTAATTTTCTTTTACCGGAAGCATGGCCGCACATTCACACATATACTATTATGCCCACTGTCACAGCTGCGGAGTTTGGACTCATGATAAAAACAGCATATTGTTTATGCTAGGTATAGCACTGAAGTACACTGTTGAGGTCACTCCTTTTGCACACACTCATGCATGTTGGTCAGAGAGATCATCTGTACAAGATCAGGTCTGGTAATGTTCTTCTACCGAATTATGCAGCCCTTCATTGTGCTCTTGTTAGAGCTTTGTGAATCACTGTTGTGAAACTCTGAGAATTTTCTTATCTCAGATTCGGATCCAGGTTTGGATCATAGGCTCGAGCATAGACATTCGGATGTGGTTCATCCGGGTCTGAGTGATCTTCTTCGGAACTTGAAAAGATTCCGAGTAATCTGTTCTCAGCCCTGGTGAAGGCGGCGTCTGCAGTTTCATATCCATGGTTGGATGTAGTCGCCTTTGGCTCGGCCTTTGGTGCAGCTTGTGAGCTGATTGGAGTTGCCTCGGCTTTAGCCGGTTGTGGCTGCTTAGCCTTTGCCCGTTCGGCCCTTCTTCTTTCAAGCTGTCCGTCCGAGGACGCCCATGATCTTTAACTTTCATCTCCTGAAGGAGATAAGGCGTGGGCATGAAGGCTGTTCCAGTACTGTGCTGCAGAAGGAGTTAGGACTTCTTCATGGTCAGATTCTGACTGGTCTTCCTCAGAGATTTGGTCGTCAAAAAGTGTCTCAAGGACATTTTTGAGGTTTTTATGTCTTCGCTCTATCTCTAGTGAGGAATGGACCAATTGATTGAAGACTGTT